GAAGGGATATAAATAAACTACAATGTAAATGTAACCTACTGACATAATTATTCGATATATACGTTATTTCTTTTTTGCGGGTTTCTTCTTTGTTGTGGTCTTTTTAGGTTTGACCTCTTTGATTAATTTATCCTTTTTAGTATCAATCTTATCGGAGTCGACTAATTCGTCGTCGTCATCTTTAGTATTGGTATCATCTTCAATAACATCCTCAAAATCAACATTTTGCTTTCTGGCAGCGCCTCCGCTACTAACTGAATTACCAGTTTTGTATATTGCAACTGGGTGGGATTTACTATTGTACTTTCTCGTAAAGGTCGTTTTGACTTTCGCAGGAATCTTCTTCAATAACAATTCTCCCTTCGCTGGACCCACACCAAAGTCAACTAGCGATTCCCAATCTTCTTTAGTTAAATAGTAGTAATCCATAATGTCCATGACTTCTTCAATTCCATCTTCACCGTTTATTAAAAGAGGATCAGTCAATTTCTTTACTAATAATGGTAAATAGTCCAATCTCAACTGTGCCTTATCTGTGGAAGTTCTTAATCTTGTGTGGTATTGCAACTCTTGTAGTAATCTTTGATATTTCATCGCCTTGGAATTTTGGCCCAACCATCCAGCAAAATTAATTCTCTGCGTGAAATTACCTGCAACCTCCAGCGAAGGTTTCACAGATGACATAACTGCATGGAACGGCAATAAACTCCATTGTTGTTCGCTTGATCTTATCAAGGAATTAACATGATCTGATTGGGAAATATCGTCTGCAGCCCGTGCGACCCTTTCCAAATGGTCTAGAGTCGATTTCACATTTGTGGGCTTAGTGGAGATATAATTTTCTTGAATCATCAATGGTGTGAAATCTATATCATTGAAATATAAGTCGATCTTATCGTTTAAACTGTGGTTAGCACTTGGATTATAAATTTGGCCGTTCAACAATTTCCCTGTAATATCAAAAGGCTTCAAGATTGTCTGTTTTTGCCAGCTCTTCGAAAATTCTCGACTTTCGTTATGACTGATTGATTTTTGAGTTGAAGAAACGGTCGATAGCAAATTGATCATTTGTCTGATGTCATGATTTGTGACTTGTACTAACTGGCCAATAACAGTTGGATCCAATTTAATCTTCTCTCTATGAGCGATAGTCATTAATCTTGCTTTCACTTCTGTTTCTGTAGGTCTTCTGAATGCTAAATCATATGTAACCCTGTCAAATGTTCTCATCTTAGGTAATGATTTATCGTTACAAATTAAAATCATAGGCATTTTAGTTATACGACAAAATGCTGATAATGCACCTGCACCACCGTGATCACCACTTGACATACCATCAACCTCATCCATAATAAGACAAAATTTCTTATCGTTAGCATGTTGTTCGGCATCGTTTCTATGTTTGAAGAACCCCACAACTGAGGTGTTATTTAAAACTGACTTAATATTGCTGTTCAATAAGGATTTTGACCTAACGTCTGATGCATTTTTTTCTAAAACGTCAAAGCCTAAACTGTTGGCCACCAAATGAGCAGCAGATGTTTTCCCAATTCCTGGCGGTCCACTAATTAAACATGCCCTAAAGACACCAGAGCCGTCTTGTCCAGGGTTTTTAAAATCATGCTTTGCATTTTCAAACCAGTTTGATAACCAGATTTTTAACTTATTAATTTGACCTTTATTACCACATAATTGGACAATATCATTAGGTGCGTATTTGACGGTCCATAACTTCTCGCTGTTAGGTATGACTCTTTTGGGACTTTCTGCACGAGAAGGATCAACTTCAGATTTAACCTGAGGTTGGCTAGCAGCCTTTTCTTCTGCCCGTGCTTTCCTTTCTTCTGACTCTGCTTCTTCAATTATCTTGCGTTCTTCTGCTTCCCTTTTCCGGCGTGCTTCCATGGCTGATTCGCCATCACCACCTTCTGCAGGCATACTTTGTAAGAGTTGTATAAACCCATCTTCTGTAATTGCTTTGATTTTATTTTTCTTAATTTTTTGCACCTTCGATGGACCAGCTTCTTCTCCTATAACTACTAAACTCGTCTTACCCAGAATGGATTTCGTAACTTTAGCACCATACTTCTTTGCTAAGTTTTCGGCAACTGTTCTTTCAAGCCTTGGTAAAACACCCGTAAAGATCATGGTTAGTCCAGATAAACAGTTTGGCTGGGCTTCTGGTATTTCTAATTCTTCCCCAGATGGTTGTGGTCCGTCTGCTTTTCTTTGTTGAAAAAATTGGAATGGCTTGTCTTTAGTATCTTCCGTCTCTGGTAATTCTGCATCAGGAATCTTAGCCAAAATTTCTTCTGCTGATGCTTCAGTTGGTGCAGATGAAGCGTCTGCATTAGATTTTTGCTTTTTGGGAGGTGAACTCTTCTTAGGGGAAGTAGAATCGGTCCTGGTTCGTTTCTTTGGCGTAGGCTTTGGAGGTGGTGAAGGTGGTTTTGCAATTTCTTCTAAATCGACATCTTCATTGACTTCTTCTTCATCCTCAAAGTCATCTTCTTCATCCTCTTCGTTACCTGGCTTGAAATCATCCTCACTATCATCATCAAAATCAGAATCTAAATTTACATAATTTGGTTTGGCCTTAGTACCCTTCCTTGGCGATGGCGTATTCTTGGATCCTTTTTTAGGTGTAGATTTTGTATTTTCACTCGTTTCCATTTTCTTAGATTTAGAATCATCGCTTTCGATTTCAATTACCTCATTCTTAGAATTAGATGTTCCTTTGCTTGATGCCTTTTTCTAAATTGGTTAATATAACACTCAATTCAAAAGAGAGAATATGAAAAAAGAATACTTACATCTCCAGTTGACTTTTTGGAAGAAGAATTCCCAAAGAATTCTCTTATATCGACCATTGTCTAAGTCTAAATCACCTAATACTGGATTCTTAACTATACTAGTGAATTTTGTAGATGATTTTATTTTACATATACGCGCTTAAATTTTGACACGGTTGAATATGATATTATGATGAACTATATATTCTAATTGTACAAAATCTATTACAGGATATCATTATTGTTATATAGGCTTGCTGTCTTTTAAATACAGGGTAGCAGAATGCAATTTGTCTATTTTTTCTCTGACTCTTTTTCTAAGAAATCGGTCCATAAAGAAACAAAACTTTGTCTCCCTGGCTTATCATCATTTGGATCATTAGAATTACGTTGAGATTGTTGGTTATGACTTAAGCCAGCACTGACTTTTTGAGACTCATCCCATTCAAGTAATGCACTTATCAATTGTAATGCTTCGAATTTTTTTGTGTCTCCACGAGGGAATTGTAAGAAACTTATAACCACATTTGATATCAATTCCTTATCGATAGTGTTGTTCAGATTGCTCAGTTGTTGTTTAAGCATTGTTAAGGACTTTGTTAAGTGCTCGTTTAAGATGATTGCTTCATGACGCAATTTCCCTATGATCAACTGTTTGCTATTTACATCTGCTTCGAGTTTGCTAACCTTCTCGTTTTCTGTTTCTAATTGGGATAACTTGGTGATCTTTTCTTGCAATGTAGTATCCACCAGTGTTTTTTCTTGTATTAATAACTCGATCTTTTGCTTTAGTTCGTCGATTGTGGATTCATGGTTTTGTTTGAGAGATTCTATCTCCCGGTCTCTCTCAGATATTGATTGGGTGTGATTGCTTATCTTCCCTTCCAAATCCTTGATATCTGCCTCTTTAGACTGTAATTTATCTTTCAACTCATCAATGGTAAGATTTAAGTTCTTGGTTTCCATATTAGCTTCGTCCCTACTTACGGTGATTTCGTTCAACTCAAGTTTCAATTCGTTGATCTTTTTCGTCAACCTCGAATTGGTATTTTCCAAATTATATTTATCATCCAGAAGCGACTCGTCTTTGCTCTGAAATTCTCTTCTCAATTTAGTTAATGAGTTGCTCAAACGATCACATTCATTATTCAAATCGGAACTTTCCTCTGTCAACTTTTTGATAGTTGTGTTCAATTTTTCGATTTCACTGGCAGAAGTCTGATTCTTTTCCTTCAAGTCAGAATTCTCGGTAGCTAATTCCTCTAAGGCCTCTTTTGTCTCTTCAAGCTCACGCTGAGACTCTTTAATCTTGGTGAACACAGACTTCATCGTCGACAATTTACTCAACAACGTGTCGTACGATGACTTTGTTTCGTCCCGCTCTTTCTCTACCTTGGACAACTGGTCCTCTAACTCCTTTACTTTCGATAAATTGTCTCCATTCAAATCTGCTTTCCCCTCTGTCAGACTATTGGCCTTCAATAAGGCCTTATCCTTCTCGACGAGCTCGTCATCTTTCTGTTTCAACGCCAACGTCAATTGGTCGATCTTTTTCTGTAACTCATTTACTCCCAAACCATTATGTTCGTCTGCTGTCGAAGCTGGAGCATCTGCTTCTGATTCTTGGGCCACTTCTTCTTGCGCTAGTTCTTGTTTAGATTGGCCATTATTATTGCCTTGTGTAGGCTCAGTTTCGGGACTAGGCGTAATCTGATTCAGATTTTGGGTCTTGGTCTGCTTCTTCTTATTCTTAGCCATTGTATCTTTCAAACCATTGATTTACAACACGTCGTGACTCGATATTATCGTTTATTTACTATAATTCATTAATAACAAGTGTAAATAATATCGACCTGCAGAAATGCGACTTCTACAAAGACACAATTATCGAAGGAATTTTTCCACCTACAATGCAAACATACTTTGATAAGTAATATACATAAACTAAAGCCTAAACAAGTCTAACAATAAAGAAATAATAACAGGATGCCAACGTGTAGAAAAATGACTTCTAAAATCACATTCACTAATGGTATGAGCCACTTTCTAGAACATTAAACGTTTTATTAAGAGCAGTTAGAGAAAATAAAAATAAAAATCATTTTTATACACTTTGACAAAAAAATACAACCTAAGATATAAACTTAAGCACCCTCTTGCAAGTTGGAATAATATATATAGTGTTAATTACTCTATTGTTGAGTTGATTTAGATGTTAGATGGGTACAACATGATTCTGACTGAGGCACCGAAAGTTTTAGCTGGTAAGTTCTTCTTAAAGTTAGCTCTGACAACACCGTTGGAACCGTGAGTTCTGGTGACCTTACCCCAGATAACTCTGATCTTAGAACCTCTGATTTCTTTAGATGCACGGTAGACGTAGGCAATACGCTTACCTAAGTAGAACTTAGCATCTTGTGGAGTACCGACGTTTTCAATTTGAATTAAAGAAACGTTTGGGTTGTTAACATGTTTAGAACGTTGGTATGACAAGTGCTTACCTTTAACGTATACTAGAAATTGTTAGTACTGGTTTCCCCTAAATTGTATAAAACAAGAATTTCTGTTTTTCTGAGTTGTTTGTTGGCCTATGGCTCTGGCTATATCTCAGAAGCATCCCCCATGCTCCCATATTGCTATTTTTAGTCCCGGATCCACAAGAGTCGCCATCTTGAAAATTTTCCACTTTTCCACCGGTGTCTCTATTCACACCTCCCCGGTTTCTTATCTTACCAACGATACCCTATTCCTCACCTGTATCATCCTGTTGTATCGTGCTACACATACAACTCTATTTAGTCTCGTAATCTCCCTCCTTCCATTTCAACAAACGGCCTTAATTTTTCACTCTCCATCTTCAAAATTCATTTCTTCCACAACAAGACCTTTGCCTTTAGTCAACAAACTCTCTATTATTAATCATTAACATACATCTGTGTGATTCAGCCATTTTAACTAATTGAATATCAGTGATAAGTTAACAAATTTAAATGTAACTAACTTCGAAAATTTTTCGAATAGTTTTAAGAACTTTTGCCCAGTACTAACACAAACTGAGCCAGGCCATTGAGTCAGGAAAACGAAAAAAAAAGTATTTTTGTGTAACAATACGATTTATTATGGGTGTGCGGATGTTTTCGCATATGCGTGCGGATGATGGTTTTACAAATGAAAAAAAGCCGAGAATGAATCATGTGATAATGACTGTATTGTTTATTAGGGCTTCCGGTAGCCCTAATAAGATAAGAGGCTAGAGTGGTTATTGGGTTGTGGCTGGGTTATTTGGTTATTGAGTTATTGGTTATTGGGTTATTGGTGATTGTAGATGATTCTGTTTTTGAATTATTGGGTTATTGGGCTATTGAATTATTAATCGGTTATAGTAATGTAGGTAATGTAGGTAATGTAGGTGATTGTAGATGATTCGGCTATTGGGCTATTGTAGATGATTTTGGTAGTTTGTAGAGCAATTGACATTGTATCCAATATAGGAATATAAACCAAGAGATAAGTATGAAGATAATACTACAGTATTCAGATAATCAACGGTAATCCATGTATTACAATTGGTAGATTAAACAGATGTGGCGTACTAGATAAATAATTATTAGCATAGACAGGAATGAAGGGGTGGAAACGTGCTATGAAGGAACACCCAACTAGATTTTGATTTCGGATTCGTTCTCCCATTTGGTGAAATTGACTCTCCAGTGTTTGGCGTCGCCGTTGTCGTATTTGGAGCTCTTTAACGACCCCGATGGGGCGTTGTGGATCGACAAGCTGGCCAAGTTGGTCAAATTCGTGAACGGATCGGTGATGTCTTCGGACGCGATATAATCGACGTGGTCAAACCACCTGGTTTCCCACTTAGATCCAGCCTCTTGCTCCTTCTTTCTCAATTCACGCTGGCTGTTCTCGATAAGTGATTTCTCCTGGTGGATCATGTCATAGTCGCTCTTCTTGATGGCCTCGGCCACGTTTTGCCATGCTTTTCTGGCTTCCAATTCGTGTTGTTCCTCGATCGGCTTCACAATCAAGTGCTCGGCCTCGGTGTTGTGGGCGTCGTAGAATAATTCGCCCTTGGAAGGAGCTTCGGACCCCTTACCAATGTACGACTTGCCAGACCATTGACCGGCGGCCGTGACCAATGCGTTAGTCTTGTTGCCACTAGAGAGCTTGTCACGGTAGATACGAGCCTTAAATGTGTTCTTCTTTCCTGAGAAGTATCCTCTACCAGAGAAATCAACGGTAGCAAGGAGCCCGTTGGATGCCTGGATGTACGACGTACCTTCCAACTCTACAAATGGCGCCGCCGTGATCAATCCCTCGATATGTAATGGTGGCAATGTGATCAAGTACGACTCGTTTAGGTCCTTGTATTCTAATATGGCGTGGCCGTATTGCTTGACATTGATCGACGTGGTGGAAATAGTGGCTCTAATTCCATTGTATCCTTGTAATACAGTATTATTCTTCTCGTTGTAGATAGCGTAACCTGTAACCGGTGGATGATGCGACACTTGTTCTGATATCAACACCGTCTCACCAAGCTTACCATCCTTCGATTCGTCCGACCACTTTCCAACAAACACCTCTCCCAAAAATGGGTTGAGCGGCTTCTTCTCCGACCCCATCGTCTCACTCCGTGAACAGTATTGCGATCTTAACGTCGAAATAAACCATTTGGTAACGGCAATCATTCTCTTCAATGCCATCGCTTCTTCCTCTGACTTATCGGCCCCTTCGGTCAGCAACAAAAAGTTGGGCTCGATAAGCAAGTCTGGATGTTCACTCCAGTATTGTGAATACTCCGATAATGATGTTGGCGACAAGATAAATGGAGGTGCTGTTAATGAAGATAAATCTCCATTAAACGAAGCAATAGATTTAAGGAACGACGTCCATGAACTTGACTGACTATTTGACATGGTATTGATATTAATTGGGTTCTTTTCAGCAAATCAAGTGTCAATTATTGAATAATTAGCCTATTACTTACAATTCGAATTGTATATTCATACAGACAATTGATTAACAATAATACGTCTATACTGTACTTCGACATGAGCTAACTAACATAGCCAAAATCTTCATTAGAAATTTCCGGGATATTGCCGGTTATGAGTGCGTGACACCCTTTGCAACCTAATGCCATGCTAGATAATAAAAAAGGCATTGTAAGATATGAAATTAGTCGTTATATGATGGCCATTTGCCATGGATAGAGGTATTGGTGGTGGTTTACTTTTGGGGACGATTTTTCCGGTGGTTTTTGCTTGGTGAACATATTTTCGTCTATACGCTTATCGGACTTATGTTCACCATCACGGACTGAACCAGGCTGTACAGTTCGTTCAGTTCGTTCAGTTGGCTCATTTCGCTCAGTCAGTACATTGGATTTAACCAAGAGAATGAGAGCATATCTGGCAGTATATGTGAAGGTTTGGATGTACGAAGAACGGATAGTTTGGTACTAGGTTACGGTGGTCGGTACGGAAAGATACTCGATCGCAATTTTTAATAGACAAGGCTTTGCAAGCTTTGCCAGCCACGAAAAAACAAAGTATGGGCTTAGAGTAGAGTGCGTTATGCCATGGTGGTCAATCTGTGGTAGGCGTGTAGTAGAAGGGTGATAGAATGGTGGTAGAATGGTAGTGTCAAAGGAAAAGAGTTGTAGAATTTATTAATGTCCGTAGTATGAGGGTTCACTGATCGTGACATAATGACCATAAGATACTTTTGAAAAATTGAAATCAAGAGGTAATTCAATTCGAGTTTGGGCCTTGTACGAATTTGTCAGAGGCATAATCATAATACTATTAATCCACTGGAATAAAACTTTGTTCCACGGAAGAAAAATATTATCGATTATCAGAACAGAAATGCAGCAGTAGTTAGTACGATATTAAGTATCTCTTCAATAGACTCTTGATTGTAAGTTGTCCGTACATTCACGTAGTATTGTAATTTGTGCAAATATAGATTTCTTGAATTACTGCGAAAATTTCCAAATTCCATGGGTTTATGTAAAACATTAAAGTTTAAAGAATACAGATAGAACTATTACAAACCATAGTAACAAACATAGATGTTCTTGTACATTGAGCAGAAACTGATTCAAACCTATATAGTGCTAATTGTCTATAATTTAATGTATATACCATAATGATCTAAAGTTACGGCAATGATACTCAAGACTAAACCATACGTTACTAAAATCGCAAACGCAACAGGAGCATTGCAGCTTAATGTATTTATGGTCATATTGGTTAAACCAGTTAATAAGTTCCCTAACAAGAAACTCAATAAACCGTTGTTATTGAAAGAATTCAATATTTTGGACTCGGCTGCTTCTGGCTTTGCCACCATCGACTCAATCAAATTGTAGCCAAGGAGTAAAGTAGAATTATAAGAAACAACCCACAATACATACAGCAAATTGGCCAATCTTCTGGAGATACTGCTCACAAAATATGCTTCTTGCACATACCAAAATAAGGCGTGAGTAAATAAGGTAGCTATCAATAATCCTTGGGTAGTAGTGACCGTGAAAAAGCCGGATTTTGCGCCAGCCTTTTTATATTGCTGATATGAACACATTCCGAATAAGTTGTTGGGTGTTTTGAAGCCAGTTAACACAAACGACCCGAATGATTGCCCAAAGATGAAGATACTGAAGTATCCGATAAATGAAAAAATCCCTTCTTTGTTCATGGTTACTAAGCTATCCATCCTATTGTCACTTCTGAGTACGAACGATAATAGATCTGTTTTGATCATTAATGCCTCGTACCCAATGCATATCACCAACGCGACAACGAAACGAGGTACGAAATTCAATACGGGGTCAATTATGCCGAAAAAGATCGGCAACAACCCAAGAGTTATAAAGAAATTCCAGTGAATCCCATATTCGGTGACATGCTCTTGATATTCGAGTGTTTTCACACTAACCAATCGAATCAACCCCAATGCCAATACCGGGAGGGTCTTGATGGTATTTCTCATAATCAACGACACGTATTGCGACAACTTGAACTTGTAGTCGGTGCACTTCGAAGAGTCGAATCTCTGTTTGATGATGGCTCTCGAAGACGCTAATCCCATCGAAAACACAAACGATCCCACTCCCAAATCCATCAAGGACGTGCCCCACGTTTCAACCTTTGCAAACCTACGAGGAAAAATTCTAAAATCCACCGCCAAAATGGCAAAGTTGGTTATTATCAACATATGTGACCTGTAGGCCGTTATAAACGGTTTTTTTACTAACAATTGTTTATTGGTCTTGGTGCCTTTTGCATCTCGTGGCATCTTCGATCTGCTCTTCTTCCCATCCTTTTGTCCCCAGTTACCCACAATTGTTGCCAATATACCCGGTGCTAATATTAACAAATGCAATGTATTGATACTGTTACTGTATAGCGTGATTGACAATAAAATCGTCATGCAATTCAAAATAAAATCAACTGGAAATGTTATCTTGTAATCAAGGTATGAACTAATCAAATTGTATGATAAATATGCACTGAGGGCCACGGCCGTGACATTGTATGTCTCCAGGATAGATCCACCAAGTAAGTTGGATACGAACAACTCCTTCTGTTCTTTTAATGATGACATTCGCTTCCTTATCTATACTTTTATCACCACTATCTATTTGATATACCAAAATCGTCTAACAATGAAGAATCAAAAATATACACAAAACCACCAGCACAATTTTTTTTTGATGATTCTAACCTTTCACCTTCACAAGAGAGCCACAGTCTTAATATTGACATATATAGAACAAGGTGGCTAATAGGTTATAATAATACTCCATAATATGACAGAGCCAAGGCCCCAGAGTCCGGGGAAAGGAGAATATGATCCACGAGTGAAAAATGATCCTGAAGAGAAGAATGTCGCTAATGAAAACGAAGAAGAATTGAGTCGTCAGAATTCGACACCAGAGAAGAATCCTGATAGTAGGGACAGCAGTAATGCTGATGTTAGTGATTTTGCACATGATATACCAAAATCGCCAGTATTATCGTCATCGGACTCGTTGATGAACATCACACCATGCACGTCTAATGGGAACGAAATGGACGATTTCGTGATATACTCAGATTCGGACGGAGCGTCGCAGAACTCGTTTGAATTGTTACAGAACAAGGGAGCCAATCCTGTAATTATGGAACAAGAAGTTAGGGACGACCAGTCGAAATCTACCGATAGTGATCGAGCTAAGCGTCACAGGACCAGCGACAGAAGAAATAGCACGGAAACAACCCCGAGTCCCAAGCCCAGGAGGCGAATGCGGAGAAAGTCTAATAAGTCGGACGCGAGCGACAGGTCTCATCGATCGTCGCTGAAGAATGGTGTATACTTAACGGGTAGTGGATACACGCTGACGCCAGCCACCGGAAAAATATTTCGTAATCTATTGATTCTTGAAGAGAGCTTGCGGGAACAAGTTATCCAACAGAGAGCAATGAGGAGAAAGTATTTGACCTTTTTGTCCATATTATGCTCTATCATTGCATCCCTAACCCATCATTTGTACTTGATGGACTCTCCGGTTGACGGGACCGTTCGAGTCATCTTGCAATTCACATTGCTCGCGTTGTTAGTCACTTTAATGTTATACCATCTCTCTGGTGAATATCAAAAGACTATTGTGTTGCCCAGAAAATTTTTGTCATCTACGAATAAAGGCTTACGCCAGCTCAACGTGAGACTCGTCAAAATCAAGACGCCGTTGACAGATTCAATCACCGATTTAATTCGAGAGTTCGTCTTGTTCAATGCAACCATGTGTCGGAATGCCTTACACAACGTGTATCCATCTACAAAGAATAACAGAAACTCGAAATTGGAGGTATTTATAGCATCCTGCCAACTGCAGTGCCAACCAAGAATTGGAGTTGCGGACGTCAAATTGATCTTGAATGCAAGAGTTTTTAATACCGACGTCAGAGAAGGCTGGGAATTATACAGAAGTGAGTTCTGGGTGCATGAAGGGGTCAGAAGACGAGAGAATATGATGTCCTTTGCGACTGAAAATTATAGGGAGGAGGTGCTCGATAGAGGAAAGCTATTGAAGAAGGATAGAAAAGAAAGAAGATATAGAAGGAAATCCAGTGTAAATGCCACATCCAGCAAACTAAATGAACAAAATTTAAATCAATTGGATGGTTCTTCTGAAAATGTATTATTGTCACCATATCATTCTGGAATGAATAGCGTAGACAGTTCTGAAGTTGGTGAGCATTAGATCATTTAATTCTGTACCATTAAGTTTAATATTGTTAATAGTCAATGCATATTTATTCAATAAATACATTTTGTAGCCGACAACAATAACTACAGTCTGTAATACAACGTAGCCAATTCAATTACGGGTGGTAAAGTAGTAGTTCTAATCGTATAGGATGAATATTTCATCAAAGTCACATGACCAAGTATACTTAAAGAACAATTCATCCATTAATAATCCATCTCTATTAAGTATATCTCTACACTATCACAATAACGATGCTACAGCTAAACCAAGTGATACACCCAGATACAAGGAACAAGAGGTTCAAGTTTGAGCCATTTTTACGCAAAGAATATAATTTTGGTTTAGATCCAGACCGTCCAGTATGCCAGTTCTACAATCCACTGAACCCAAACAATTCATGCCCAAATGGGAGTCTTTGTCCACATAAGCATGTTTCGTCCATGTATTCGAACAAGATAGTGTGTAAGCATTGGTTAAGAGGTCTATGCAAGAAGAATGATCATTGTGAGTTCTTACACGAGTACAATTTAAGAAAGATGCCAGAGTGCTTGTTCTACTCGAAAAACGGCTTCTGTACGCAGACACCCGAATGTCTCTATTTGCATGTTGATCCCCAACTGAAAATACCTCCATGTTCTAGTTATGAAAAAGGGTTTTGTCCAGACGGTCCTAAATGTGCAAACAGACATATTAGAAAAATCATGTGTCCATTGTGGCTTACTGGTTTCTGTCCCAAGGGTGCTGAATGTGATTACACTCATCCAAGATTCGAAGCTATAATAGACAGGTTAAGGATAAAGCCGGATGAGGATGCTGTAGAAGAAAAAGAAAAAGTGGCCAATGGGTCGGAGAAAGAAGATCAAGATATGGCAGATGCTACACTGAATGAAAATACCGAAGAAAAGGACGAGTCAGGTCCTTGATACATGTATAATATTTTATTTTCAAAGAGGTCTATAGAGTTAGTTGGAATTAATTTCAGCAATTTTTATATAGTATATGTAATGACAGATTTAATGATAGTAATTTCCTGATTGGATTCAATTCGATGTAATTGTAGATTAAACCCTAAACTTTCTAGCCTGCTTTCTTTCCATTGGAGTCAAAACCCAGTTAACACCCAAATCTTCGTCCGCTTGATCACCTTCATCATTGTTATGACCACCTTCGTTACTCATGTCGTATTCTTCGTCATCCATGCCAACAAGTAAAACTAATTGAGTTACTCTTACAAACTTTTCTCTTAATTCATAGTTATCTTCACACATTTCATTAATAATGTGAGACATATCCTTTTCCAACTTAAGTGATCCCAATTCATTTATTTTGAACTTCTTTAACACATTTACCAATTTTTTCTCGATCAAATTGGCCAAATTTACAACCAATAGCCTCAAGAGTTTATGGAAAATTAATGACTTATGAAACGTTTGCTTATATGGTCTAATTAACGATTGCCATGTTGTTGTGAATCTCAAGATAGTTGAATTATCATTGAGAGAGTTGACTGAGTATATTATGTAGTGTGAATCGTTAGCATCAGGAAAACAATCATTAATAAGATTAAGTAATTTATTCTTAAGCGATTGATTGTAAAAATTAATTAAACTATCTTGAATAATCTTATTGGTGATTGATATAAATGGATCCAAAAATTCTGTTTTGAGTATGCTTGCAATCTTTTCCAGGTCTTTACCAAAGGGGAAATTATTTCTTAAGTAGTCCGGACTGTTTTTGGTTATGCTTTCAAAAATCTTTGTGAAGTACTCTTGCCCCATTGCAACAGTATTTAAATACAATACAAAATTCATTAACTTAGCATTATTAGTATGTGCGGCTGTTGTACTGATTCCAGCTCCAGCAGCTCCACTTCCGACAACATTACCCAAAGCACTAGAAGCTCCTTTAAAAAAACCCATAGTACCTGAACCTTCATGGACAGGCGTCCCACTTCTAGATATTCCAGGACTGGCAGTACCGCTGAGTACGCCATTTGGATTCGATGTAGGTGCAACTAACGTCAATGTAGAGTTATAACGAGGCTGATTAGAATTTAAATTTTTAATAAAGAATCCATTAATTAAGTCCCTTTGAATAACTTTAAAGTCTTCGTTTATGAATCGTTTGAGTGTGATTGGCTGCGCTGTGTCTATTATGTTTCTTAAAGTGGTGTTTAACACCAATGTAGCATCTTCTATGACAGATGAACAAGGTACTTGATCAGGTGGATCTGATGACGAAGTCATTATCAAATGTGGTTCTAATGATGGCAATTCTTCAATGGTTATAGCTTTCTCCAAAGATCTTCTGAAATAATAGGAATATAAGGATTCAAATGCAGGCAAGAATTTCTTGTGAATCTTACTTGTGAAATTGGAGTCTATGATTAATTTTGGAAGCTTCAATCCCTCTTCGTTTTCAGTACCGTCATTGGATTGGTAATACTTTAAGGTTATGAATTTACAATACAATGCCCAATTATGTAAGATTCCAGCCAACTCACTTACCAAGTCTCCAATTTCAACAATGGAAACCAATTCATCCTCCTCTGGATTTAAGTTTGCTTGGTCAACACCGGATGGATCTTCATGGTCTGAAAACCTTTTTGACAAAACAGGGAAGTTATATAGACTAATGTCTTGAATGACTTTATCGATTCTTTTTATATCGTAGAAAGTGTCACTAATCAAACCAATCTGTGAATCAATCTCATGCTGTATTTTTGTTACAACGTATGAAATTGCATTGTCATATGTAGAGCCGTAATATTTCTTGATCAATGGTCCATGCTGAGACAACATCATAGATATATTTTCAAACAATTTCATACTTATAGTAAGGTACATGCCATGTTTGGTGGCAGCATTACTACCACCAGATGCGGAATTAATCAATGAACGCAGGGTATCGGTTATTATTTGGCAAATGAATTTAGAATAGCAATTGAGACCTATCTCCTCCTTTTGAATCAATGGAAACAACTGGAAGTACTTTGTTAACTCAGAAACATTTTTATTTTTTGATGCTTCATTAAACCCCTTTTTAAATTCTTCTGTTAACAATTCAATCCATTTTTGTACAGTTTCGGAAGGTAGCTCAGGAATATCAGTACTGGGTATCACCACAGAAGCAAAATTACCATTAACCAATTCAGCGGGTAATTTACACGTAATAGTATGTAAACATTGAGCTGCCAATTCCCAGTTTTTGTGGTCAATAGCATAACTCGCCTGGTTTATATTATTCTTTAATGCCTGGATATCAGTAACAAAATCCAACGTTTGTTTAACGTTACCAATCTCCTGGTCCAATGATTTGATCTTGAATGTCAACGAATGTCCTAAGTCATTAGCTGCCGAGAATAACAGAGCCATCTCGGTTGAATTCAGAATTGTTGTCGATAATTTCGCCCGATTTAATTCAATATTGGATGTTTCTTGTTGATGCTTTTTCAGTTTTATTATAGAGAAATGATTCAATTCTTTATCAATTGAAGCTGTTGTTGTATCTATTTCAGCTATTAAACTATGCAATTCATTTGTAGTAGTCGCTTCATGGAACCTTTGATCTAACGTCAGCACCGTTTTACTTAGTTCTGACTCAGATAGAGTCGAGAATAAAGGTACCAGCTGATTGAATCCATTACCGGACATTATATTTCACAATATCGATAGATATTGAACTGTAGAGTAGGTATCGTAGTGTAAATAGGCTCTTAATATTGAGTTTCGTGTTGTTTCCATACAAGTTCTCGTTCATAGTGAATGCCCTGTATACAATATTTTTCAGGAAATGGTTCACTTGAAGACGTATTGTCGGAAACAAGTTTATATGACCGTTATATTGGCAGATATTTCGTGTAGTGTTACGACGGCCATGGGATAGTCAACAGAAACAAAGATAAATGGATAAAAGTCATTTTTAAGAACCTAGTTCTCAATTTCTACTCAGATCATAAAGTATGGATACTTCTTCTTAAGATGATTGATACGAGAATATGCACATGATATATTATTAAACTAAACTATTATACATAATTAGAATGGATTGTACCAGTTATGGTACTAGGATTTGCACTTGGTGTGAAGTAATGAAATTATTTCTCATTTCTTTGGACCATTCTTCAATTCCGAAGCCATTGAGTCTCTTTCATTTCTAAATTTGGTAGATCTGTCTCTGATTCTAGGCTTCTTTATTTTCCTGTCCCTATTGCTCTTGAGGCCCTTGATACCGGCGATCAGATCCCCCTTGGAAGCTCTTTGACCTTCAATAATATTTCTGGACTTACCAGCGGTGGCCCTATCACTCTTATTCAAAACAGTTTGGGCTCTACCTAACTTGGTTCTTTGCTGGTCACTTAACTTAGCAGACATCTTGGATCTGTTAGAAGCGTATGCCTTCTTAGAGTTGTCAATGTGGTTTGGTGATAATATCGATGGTTTGGTGTGTGCCTTGGCCTTCGAGATACGAAGCTTACGTTTCTTTTCTTCAGACATTGGCTTATCGTTGAGTAACAATGACTTGTTGACCGACAACGTATCCTTAAATTGAACCAAGGCAAAACCTTTACCTACATTGGTCTTAGGGTCTCTGATAACTCTGACAGATTCCACATCGTTATCGGTCTTAGAGTTGAAATAACGCCACAAGGTTTCTTCCTTTTCTTCAAAATCCAAATTCCCAACAAAAATAGTCCTTTTGTTATCCTTTGGTGCTGGATGGGCGACGTGATCGACTCTTAAATGTGCATGCTCAAACTCAGTCGCATTCAACTTGGAAACACACTTTAATGATGGCTCTTTTTCAGCAAACACAACATATGCATTCAACGTATCTCTAGAACTATGCAACTTTTTCTTTGCGAAGGCCACTTTCCTTGGAACGGCGTCGTCGAACGATATGGATCTAAATCTGATCGACTGAATTTTACCGTATTGCGAAAAAAGTTTCTTGAATTTCTTATACATTGGCTTCGAGCTAACAACGGAAGCATTCACGTTACCAACAAACACAGTACGTTCTGCCTTCGCTAATTCGTTTTCTTTCAAATCAACCGTCTTGGCACGCTTGGACTTAGCTTCACTACTTTGGTCTTCCTCGTCGTCCGAGTCAGAATCACTTCCAGAATCACTTTCCGCTTTTTCCACTTTCGGTGCTTCTTCATCTTGTTCCTTTAACAATTTATTGTAGTACTTTGATTCCAAATCCTCATTCAAATCCTTCTTTTGTCTCGTCTTCTTCGCACGCTTGGCTTCAGCCTTTATATCTCTTTCCTTTTCTTCCTCTGTTTCTTCGATGCTTTCACTCTGATCTTCGCCAGATTCTTCCTTTACGGCATCTATAGGAATATTAATTACGGTTCTGGCCCTGTCTGAATATTGTCTGGAAACTGGCCCTTTTGAAGCCTTGAATAACAGATCTATACTCTTATCAACATTGGCATTATCACCTGAGGATCCAAAGATCGAGCTGAACGTCGACATCTTAATAGCTACTATTTTATCCGGATATTTCACTATCTGTATATGAACTCATCTCACTGTAAAAAAATTTCGGAGAGAGTAAAAGACCACTGAAAAAGATGCCTGCATATAATTCAGTATACAATCATAGAGAAAAACCGAAACCCCTTGTAAAGGTATTGGCGTCAATCGAAAGTAATAAACCAAGTGGATTCATTGAAATATCTAACGAAATCAGGGCAGATTGTGGTTTTAGTATTAAGACTTAATAAAAAATATAATTTGTATAAACGTCTCGATTTTATTCGCCAAACTGCATCAGAGGATATCTTTCAATGGCTACGGAAGAATCAAACAACAAAGAATCACCTTTAACAGACATAGCCACGTCGCCTCCGCCATTTGATTTGACATTGGATAACAAGGAGTTGGAGAACAACGAAACGTCCAATTTGGTATCTAATAACGCTAATTCTGGCCAGGAATCACAGGAAAACAACAGTACGACTAATCGAGATAGCTACGAGAGTTCGGAGCTCAGTGACTTGGGAGAGGACGAATCAGAGGCAGAAACGGACAAAATGGACTTTTTGGACGATGATCCTAATTCTAGCGGTGAAAAAGTGCTGGACTTGAATGCGATTTCGAAGTTGACTAAATTGGCACACTTGAAAGAGGTTGACTCGGACAACGAAGACGACGAAAATGAAGTCAAAACAGAGGAAACAGATCTACAAGAGGACGACGAAGAGAACCAGGTGAAGGAGACTGAAGAGACACCGGAAACCAACACCAACATAGAGGAAAGCTCGTCGGATGGTGAGATTTCAATAAACCCGAAAGAAAATGCGGAGGCCAATAAAGAAATCATGGAAGATTTGGAAAGAATCAGCCAAAGTGTGGAAGATGGCACCAGTAGAAGGCCGTCTAAACGTTCTATAAGCGAACCTGAACAGACGAATAACAAGAAGCCAAAGATAGAGAACGAAGAAGAACCAAATACTGAAAAGACCGGTGAAGATATACCAGATAATGTGCCAAATGATGAGGACGAAAACTCAGACGTAGAGGATTCGCAAAAAGATGACTTGAATAACGGTAATAGTAATAGCGGCGAGGACGAGGAGAACGATGATGCGAATAATGGAGAAAAGACAGACGATCAGGAGGCAGACGAGGAAGATGAAGATGCCGATGAAATCGGAGACTTTGAAAGTAGTGAAAAAGACGTGGACATTAATGAGAAACGCAAACTTGCTATTGAAGAGTTAATTACTATCGAGTCGTCATTTGCGGAATTGAGAGATAAATTATATCAGGATAAATTGAATTTACTTGAGCATGAGTTGCAACTCTGTCTAGAAGGGTCGCATCCAGAATTATCCAGGATCTACTACAAAATAAATCAATTTCATCAAGATAGTTTAAAACAGGCCAATTCAAACCTAAACTATAAATTGAAATGCATTGACGTCAGCACCATCGCCTCTCGAACCTCGATTCATCAGAATTTCCTCAAGAAGCTTATGGATTGCAAAAACGACATGATTACCGATACGACATCATTGTGGTACAAAATAAACAAAGAACGTAACCAACTAGACCAACTTGTCCCCGACTACAACTTCACTGCCATTCCACTGATACCGAATTACACGGCTACTGTACCCATAGAAGAAGGCGCTAATGGCGTAGCCAATGGCATACTAAATGGTCATGAGATTGCTCCGTTGAGCAAAAAAACAATGAAACAAAATACGGTGTTCGAATTGGTAGAGCAACGAAACAACTTGAATTGTCAATTGGGCATATTGAATGGGTTATTACAGTTCCATGGATTCCCGTCTGCGCTATACTCGAATGTAGATGACAATTTTGTCGGGCCAAGCCAAGAACTATTATTGAGAAAGGCAACCGAAGATGAAATCAATGAGGACCTAAGGGCTATGGGAATACCCATGTAGATTACATTTTGTATCTCTTTATACATATATATTAATAACATTCAATTCATATAGGAAGCTTGATATACCCGTAAAATTCGTAAGCACACGACCTTTAATTTTTAGTAAACAAAATACGTGTGAAATATGAAAGTAGTTAGGACAGAAAGTACTATAGATCGGCCAATTGAATAAATATGGTAGAAGTATCGTTAACTGTTGGTAAACTTGATGCTTCATTAGCATTATTGTTGACGAAAGATCATCATTTAATTGAATTTCCAACGATTTTATTGCCCAATGGTGTCAGAGCAGGTTCAATTGTTAAAATCAAATGTGACCAGGATTTAGAAGGCGAAAAGGAAGAACAGAAAGAGTTCCAGACGATACAAGACGAGATATTAACAACGTTTGGTACGAACTTACCGAGCGCCCCTAATTTAAAAATTAAGAATGTTACTCAAACCTCATGTGTATTAGAATGGGATACCTTGGAATTGGGAACGGCCAATTTGAAAAATTTGGTTCTTTTCAAGGATGGTAAAAAATTGGGGGCTATTCCACAACCCTTGACGAGCAAGACAACAAAGTTATCGGGATTATCGATCGACCAAACATTCGAGTTTCAATTACGATTGGATACAACGGCAGGTATCTATCTGTCAGCAGTGGTTGAAGTCACGACACATAAGATGACGGATTTATCTGGTATCACTGTTTGCTTGGGTGATATTTCTGCCAACGAACAATTCACGGTGGAGGACATTGAAAATACATTGAAGAATATGGGTGCTAATTACCCACCACAAGACAAAATCAAGGTGGATACTACGCATTATATATGTACTAGAGAAAACAAACAGAATCCTGAATTTTTGAAAGCATTTGATATGAATATTCCAATTATTAGACCTGAATGGTTGAAGGCTTGTGAAAGAGAAAGAAGAATAGTTGGAGTAAGAGACTTCTATGTCAAGGATTGCGTATTGCCAGATATATTAGCGAAAAACTATTGGCAAAAGGGAACTCAAAGTACCGCCAGAGCGACAGAATCCAATGAGACTGAGCCTAAAGCAGAACAATTGGACGAAAATGAAGCTCCTACTGTTGTTGTGGATGAAGCGGATGTCAATAAAGAAGAAGAGAGAAACGAACAATCTGTGGGAACATCTGATTTACCAGATACAGAGGAAGGAACTAAAGGTACCGAATCCCTGGAAACTGTTGATACAGCAAATGATCAACTTGAAGAAGTTAAGATTGATGATTCAACCAACAACGTGAATGCCGATGAACAAGTTGACTCTGAAACTCAAAAGGAAGAGCAAACAACGAACGATCCTGAAGATGTAAACGCCGATGTTGTAGAGCCCTCTGTAGAATCTGCAACTAAGGCTGAAGAACCTGAAGAAGAAACGAAGCCAGAAGCAATAGAACCTTCAGAAGTTTCCCCACCAACAGAAGAAAAGGAAGAAGATAATTCTAAGATAGATACCAAAGATACAGTCGATGAATCAAATGAAAATGAACCAATGATGGATGAGATTAAATTAGAAGATAAGGAAACGCAAATAAATGATGAACCTAATGCCGAAAGCAAAGAAACAGAAACAGAAGCTTCAGAAAAGATAGAACCAACGGAGAAAGAAGAATCCGTAGAACCTGGAAACACTGAAACTGAAGGTGAAGGTGAAGGTGAGGGCGAGAATGAGGCAGTAGGTCGGGAAGATTCGAATAATGCTTCTACTTCAACAAATAAAAAAAAGAAGAAGAACAATAAGAAGAAAAATAAGAAGAAACAGAATATTTCCTAGTTATATATACTCTCTAGTTCCTGTATTATTGCTTTCGTATAGCGTCTGTTAAAATATAAATATAAATATACAAAACTCCGTTCAGTAGAAATAATGACAGTGCAGGCCTAATATAAAGTATCTTGTTGCATCTATACCGTGCTATATAAAGTAAATGCATTATAAAAATATAATCTTGAAATGAATATTGAACAATTGAATTTAATTACCAAGAAGACTGTGGAGACCTATTAATTAATTATCACCAAATAATCTTCTTACTTTCTTCAATATAGAATCCTTTTCTGGGTCATATGGATGATCTTTAGAGGGGATTTCTAAGATGGCAGGGAATGCATTGGTGTAACCATCAACTCTGTATCTGATTAAATCAGCAATATGTTGATTAATCAAAAGAATGGCAATGTCGTTTCTTTTGGTAGTAAAACTCTCGAATGCTTCTTCCACGTCCTCAACAGACGTCTTACCTGGTATGACAGTCAAGAAATTGGTTTCTTTGCCTTCTTCGTTCGAAATTTGTCCAACACCAGCTAATAATAACCCCGTTACTGAATCTTCATCTGCTATAGCAGCTAATAATGTCCGCTTTGACATGGCTTCATTGGCAGAACTCATGACGATAAGTTACTTATTTTTCTTTTACAATCTCACAGAAAGCTCCTAATAACCAAATTTGTTACCAATGAACTTCAATTGTGACTTCAACTGTATAATATAATTGATTAAGTACAATCTAGTTGACTCTTGATAGAAAAGGATTAACGAGCTATAAAGGCTTGTGTAATACACGCACCCGATCAATTTCTCAGTTAGATGGTATAGATATGAAAAATTTCCAGAAATATCAAGGTGTTTTGACGATATATACTTACAGATAGGATGTTATGCTCATCAAAGACAGTCAGACCACAGAGAAGTGTATTTAGGACACTTAGAGTTCCAATTTCGCTGTTTCATTCGAGTTGCTTTATGCTCGCAGGGCATTCTAAATGGGCCAATATTAAGCATGATAAGGCCAAAAACGACGCTAAGAAGTCCAGAGAAGCATATTCGATCGCCACACGGATAGTGTCGAGTGTCAAGGCCGGAGGAGTCGATGGTAATGCTCAATTGTTGACTCTTGTAGAAAAGGCGAAAAAATTGAATGTCACCAAGAAGATCATCGAGAATGCCATTAAACGAGGAACTGGGGAAATAAGCTCAGAGGGACAGCAACTCTCCGAAGTAACATACGAGTTTATGGGGCCTGGAGGTGTAGCATTTATTGTGGAGGCAAGTACAGACAATAAAACCCGTACTATTGGGTTAGTCAAGCATGCCATGTCAAAGTTCAATGCGTCATTGAGCCCGTGCCAGTATTTATTTGACCGTAAGGGGTCCATCATATTCTCTCCTCTTAACGAGACAGAGACACTTGACGACGTACTAGAAGTTGCCATCGATATAGGTGCAGAGGATGTAGAGGACTACAAGGATACCGACAACGAGTACGGAAAGGAAAAATTATTCAAGATTGTGACTGATGTGGGTGATATCTTTGAAATCTCCAACAAGCTCTCAGCCAAGGGATACGCCCTCAAGGACTCGACCACTGGGTACATGGCTGAAAGCGATACGCTCGTCGAATTCCCCGAGGCCCACGAAAAGGGCCTCAAAAAGGCGTTGGAGCTCTTGGATGAAATCCCCGAATTGACCAACTACTACTCGAACATCAAGGACGACGAATAACCTCCCCATCCGCTGTACATAGATAAAACACACGTTCATAAAATATAGTATTAAACTGTAAACACTCAACTAAATACGCAATTGGATATCTCTCCTAATGATCCACCACCAGTGGCCCCATTATCGCTCCACCAATGCTCCACCAATGCTCCACCTATGCTCCATCTTCCGTCTCTCCAATTGCGACCCCTCTATCGCGTGAATGCTATTTCATAATGCAAGAACATCCGCCTCTGGGCTTTCTCTTGCGAGCCAGCTTAATCCTTGTTTTCTTGCTTCTTTTCATCCTTGTTTCCTGAATCTTTCTTTTGGACTTCGGCATTCAATACATTATCTAAGTTGGATAAATCAGCGTTTTTCCACAATCTCAATTCTTTATCGTGGGCAAAATGTCTGTAAGTGAAAAAGAATCCCGATGCAACTGCAACTCCCATAGCAGCGAATAATGGGTACATTTCAACTGGAAGTTTTGGGCCAGAATTGGTTTTCTTGCCAATATTCAATAAAACACGGGTCGCTCTCATATTTGATTTACTTCAATTATTACGATTGGAATGAAGAGTTGTTGTTCATTTATGTCCCATGGAATTAGTACCATGAAAATTATGGTATGATATTTTGGTAATAACACGACCATTTTTTGATGACGATTTTGTGTCATTTATTGAAAACAACCATTTTGGTTGGTTAGAATTATAGATATTCACGTGCCTGGTATAGTATAATACAAATGTATATTAGTCTAATCTATGCTGTAATGTAGGGGTTAGAAAATGATAGGAGGCAGGGGCCGGACGAGGCTACCATCTTGCAATTTCTTCCTTGATAGTATCGTAGCAGAGCCAGCTCACAGCCATAGAAGGCACGATTTTGTAGAGATTTGCGGTGAGACCTTTGTAGGCTCCAAAGAAGCCTTCAGTGGTGAAAATAGAGATCAATGCACGGGTGACCGAGGAGTACTGGAAGCCCAATTCACCACCGGCCATACTGGCGACCTGGTAACGCTTACGAAGTAAATCCAAGGGGTAGATGAGGACACCACCTACGAAACTGGAGAAAGCTCCGGCCGAGAGTTTCCAGAGGGGATTTGAGTAGTCTGCGGGCGAGTTGTCCATGTAGTCTCTCATTTTTTCGTATAGGGTGAAGTTGATAGCCACGTAGGGGGCGACTCCCATGGTGGTGGGCACTATGCCCTTGTAGAGGGCGCAGAAGCCACCCTCGTGCTTGTAGACCTCGACCAACGTTTCTACCACCGATGGGGGTTTCACCAAACGTCCCTTGGCTAGTTTGGCCAACGACGCCGTCTGCACGGTTATTCTGGCCCGTACGAGGTCTAGAGGGTACGTAGCAGCCACTGACGCAATCCCACCAATCGACCCGGCAATCAAACGTTCGTGCACCTGGAGCTCAGATGAACCGTCCTTGTTGGCCATCATGATGGCCTTGCATTTTTCAAACACGGCGTATTGGACAGCACTGTAAGGAACGATACGAATGCAATTCAAGAGATTACCTCTGAAAAGTCCTCTCCAGCCTTCTTCGGCGTACATTTTGAAGATCGTGGGGAACATGCCGTTATATGACTTAAACCCGGGGCCTTGGAGTTGCAATAGGATCTTAGCCCTTTCGAATGGCGACACAACTGTCCTTGAAACTGCTCCAGCAATTCCTCCAGCTATCAAAGACGCGTTAGAATCTTGCTTTAAAAACAGTTTGATGTCATACGGCATGTCTCTTCGTATCTCAAATTCTGACATCGTTTGTCACGTAGGATCCCGTCAGTATGTTTTTTTAAGCAACTATGTCACACCAGCTTAAAATCTTAGCGAAAATTGAATGAAATGAATGCAAATTATAACTCTGGGGTTTGTTTGTTGTTGACGTAAACTTGTATGGCTGAAATCTTAAATTTTACTCAAAATTATAGCCGAGAATCGCCGAGCACGACCGATGTCGATAAGCCTACTACAGAGATCTTTTAGATATACAGGTATGGAGATTCATTATATGCTATATAGGATAAATTCATTAAACTAATTCGTTATACTACATGTAATTAGCCATTAGTAAATCATATTAAATTATTTGTAGCTAGATAAAACCTGTTCAACACCGGCAACAAAGATGTCTGCGTGTTTCTCTTCGAACACCAAGGTTGGTCTTAATCTGACCGAGGTCTCAGCACATCCGCCCATGTTGACACCAACAGACTTCATATCCTTCAAGAACTGATCACGCGCAGCACCTGTGTCGAAGGACCAGGCAATGAAGGTAGCTCTGTTCTTCCCTCTCAAGTTGAGGAGATATTGAGGGTATTTAGCTTGTAAAGCTTCCAATTTGGAGAACAAGTAGCTACCAACCTTTTGGGCCTTAGCAGGTAAATCATTCTTGACGACTTCGTCACAGATGGCACCAGCTAAGATCATTCTGGCTGGATCACCGCACCAGGTGCTGAATTGACGGTATGGAATGCTTGGGACGATTTCTGGGTTGTGGAAGTAGTAACCGGCAGATTGGAATTTCTTGGAGAAAGTGACCATGTCTGGAGGTGAAGACAAGTTGAAATGTTCGTGACACCAAAATTTACCCGTAGCACCAACACCAGTTTGGACTTCGTCGACGATCATTAAGGCACCGTATTTCAAGGTTAAGTCTCTCAAGCCTTGGAAAAACTCGTTTGAGCCGTGGTTATCACCACCTTCGGATTGAATAGGCTCAATAAGCAACGCCGCAATTGGAATCTTATTAGTGGAGAAGATTTCGTCGACTATCTGGAGACAACGCTGGTCTTCCTTCTTATTTTCTTCAACGTGCTTATCCAATGGATACTTGTACGATGGGTACTCAGCCTTTGGCCATTTGAATGCAGGGAAGTCTAACTTGTGGATTGGCTTCGAGCAGGTGGTCGATCCACTGGCAAACAATCTACCATGGAACGCTCTCTTGAACGAAAGAATGGCCAAGTCTGGACTACCAGGCAGCTCGTTCTTCATGACCGACTCGTTTTCTTCAGCAGTAAAAGGAGTGTTGAAGCCCCTCTTCTTGCCCTGATACCACATAAATGCTGCCTTGAATGCCAATTCATTGGCATCGGCGCCTGACAATCCCGACCAAACTTTATCTTGGCCCTTTGGAGCAACCTTCAACAAGTCACCGATAATTTCGGCGGTGTCTTTTCCTGGAAAGTTACCAAGCGCTGGACGATCCACAATTGCTCTAATCATCTTATCGGACTTGGCCGCCTTGATCAAGGCAGGGTTGTTGTAGCCCAACCCAATGGATGCAATTTGGGCATAAACATCCAAATATGTGTTACCGTCAGCATCGACAATGTAGTTACCAATAGACTTTTCGTAGTCGGTTATGAAGTAAGCTGGTCTACTATCAAACACCTTATTCAATGACTTGATGCCCTCCTGGGATTGTGGCCCTGGGAATGATGAAGTCTTAACTACTGGCTTTTCTGGTTCGCCTGGAAAATATTTCTCACAAATGGACATATCACTTGAGATATCACTTTCTATTACTATGTTTGATGAGAAGAAGAAACAATAAGGGATAATTTTATTAAATGGGTCAAAAGATAGGACTTCTGGTATTTATATGGGGAAGATAGCAATAAGCGCTAATCGCCCAAAACGGCAATCGGCCGCTAATCAAAAATTTCCTCGACTTGAGCAAAAGGCATCAACGATTGCCGCAAAGAGCGGTGTTTGGAGTTCATAAGTGGAAGAACCGCTATATGCTGGCGTTGTTGGATTCCGGACCAATGTACGATGTGGTATTTGCATTGTGGTGTATTTGCGTGGGTATTGTCGAGTGGAACGGACGCTAATGGACTGAGATTTATGAAAATATTGAATATAATGGGATATTGGAGTGGGATAATACGTAGAAGTGGATGCTATGAGGAGGGTGTTCGTATAGAAAACATACATACACGTCAATATTCATAAGAGTCATTATTATTAGAGAACATTAGAACATTAGTATTAAGGCCGAAGTTGAGTCGCGCATCATGTAAGTAGATTCATTAAGCTGGTGGGTTGATGGGTTAATAGGTCGATAGACCGATAGAATGGAATTAAAGGCATGAGCAGATCGATCAGACTCGAATGGAGACATTCAACCATTGGGGGGAATCGAATTTGAGCGTTTGAATTGTAAGCGAGTGGCATCAGAACGACTCGGTTCTTCGAGAAATCCGTACACATAGTCCGCACGTCGAATGGACCTGCCTAATCAGCTATTTGCACCCTAATACGATACCAATCGATAAATACCTGTGAATAACCTGATAACGATGCATGTGGTTTAAGATCAAACATGAGTTGTAATGTAGGCATGATTAGATCTTTTTCATTTACTCGATGATGCAGTTCCATCGATGCGGTTGAACGTTTATGGAGTTCTGGTGATAAGCTTGATATGTCATGTTGGTCGTAGGAAACTGGAACATAAACAATGGTCAGAGCGACTTATGTGAACGCTGGGATTATTATTTTTCTATATCGTTTGCTATTTTGCGCTTTACCATATTGTCGCTTGTAGAGAATCAGTGGATCATACTTTAACAACTTCACTACCACTCAAAAATCAATAAACACTATACACCCCGATCATATTTCAATAAAACCATAAGCAGTATATTTAGAACTTTGTCAAAAGAATCCTACAACCTACCCTTTTAAAGGTAAGATGAGCATATTTTTACCCATTTTATAACAGCAGAACTGAAATTAATTCAAAACCAGTCTTCTGAAAACCCTATTCAATACATACTATGATAATCCAAACATCCCAAAGAAATAGTCCCAGAAACCCAATGAAAATGGATTACGATTGACCACTAATAAATACCACTATTTTGATCATTTATGCTAATTATGGCCCCTATCATGCAAAAACAACCGGGAAACTTATACATAACCACTTGTAGTACTTTGACCTAAGGTCGATCGAGTCTGAGTATATATTAGACTAGCATATAGGCGGTTCTCTCTGTTCATCAAAACTTGCAAATTCTCACGGGTTGTTCTGCATATCAGAATGCTCTGCTATAGAAAAAAAATCAAATTATAAACAAGGTTGATAGTCAATCATAGATAAACGCATATAACGTATTTAGTATAGTATGAGTGTCAATATTAAAGACGAAAATAATGAAAGCCAACCATCAGAACTACAGGATGGTAATAATGAAGGTCATAACTTTAGAAATGATGATATACCCGAGTCTCAAAGTCAGAGTAATCAACAAGCGCATGATGACCAAGTCGATATAAATATGGCTGAAATTGATAAAGTGATATCTGAGTCTATTACTCATGGAAATGAAGAAGCTGAATATCAACAATCGTACATTGATAGCAATGATAGCTCAAAACGTCAACTTGATGAGCCTGCTGATAGTAATGTAGAGGAAAACACTAAGCGTCAAAGGATAGACGAATATGGGGCCAATTCTAGTGAAGATAACTATACAAATAATGCTTTTGAAGAAAAGGAAAAACAAACAAGTAGTTCTGGGAATGAAACAGGGTCAAATGAGAACAATGAAATGCTGCAACAAGGATCTGACGGCTCAGGCAGTTCAAAAGCACAACAGCAACAAGATAAAGAAGGTCAGAATATTACGAAGGAGAGTCATGAGAAAGAGAGAGAGGATTCTGGAAAAAATGGACACGAGATCCAAGCCAGTCGTGAACATAAAGTAAACCACGAAGAGGGTGGTCAGCAGGGTGAACAGGAGACCCAGACACAAGAAACAGGACAAGATAAGAACAAGCAAAATAATGAATTGGAATTGGAGTTTGAGAAGGCTATTGAGGATCACCACCAACAGATTTCCCAATCTCCCGAGCCGACTAACCAAGGTGAGGGCGCGATAAACGAAAAGAGAGATTTACAGATGATTGCAAACGAATTAGAAAAGGCTACCGAATCCAATAAGGATGCCCCTAAGGAGAAAGAAGCGGGTGAAGGTGATCAAAGCAAAGTATTTCATGGGGGTATAAATGTTCCTGCTAATTCTGAATTGTTAAATACTAACACTGCGTATGCTGCGTACAACGCGTTATCAAGCCAATTACCACCACTTTCAATTCTAGCAAATGCTCATTTGGCGGCTTTACCGTTACCTATCGTAGCAGCAGATTACCTTCCACCCAGAATCCAACTATTAATTAATACTTTGCCTACATTGGATAATTTAGCATCGCAGTTGTTGAGAATCGTTGCTCTTGGCCCGTATCAAAAAATACTAGACTTGGCGGCACATCCTGACACCCCTGCAGGGGCAACATTTCGTGATTTGACTTCGTTATTCGAATTCACCAAACGATTATATTCGGAGGAAGATCCATTTTTGTCGGTGGAACATTTGGCTCCGGGCATGTGGAAAGAAGGCGACAAAACTCCAAGTATTTTTAGAAATAGGGAACAGCTGATTGAGCTGACGTTGAGAAAAGTTAACTTGGCTACTTTCTTAGGAGCAACTCTAGGTACGATTGAGGTTGGGTTTTTCTACTTGAACGAGTCGTTCTTAGATATATTTTGTCCAGCTAATAACCTCGATCCCGCAAATACATTATCCAATATGAGCCCCCATAACATGAGCTTACAAAGTGGTGTCAATACCATCATAGGTGATAAAATTGGAAAATTGTTGAAGCCACAGACAGTGTTGTATCTTGACTTGAAGACCCAGGCATACATATCAGCCATCGAAGCTGGTGGAAGGTCCAGAGAAGATATCTTGGAGGATATCTTGCCGCATAATTTAGAGGACATTTTATTGGAGAGACGCAAAACTAAAATATTGACTCCTACGGAATTCGACTTTATAGACCGTTGCAAGTCTCGAAAAGAGATATTATTGAACTACCCGAGTGACAAGGTGCTCAGTGAAGAATATGACTGGTTGTCATTTTTGAAAGAACTCTTTGAATACTCTGCAAAAAACATGGGCTTTTTAATCTGGGGTAAGAAGGGAAGAGCCACTAAAGAAAAGAACACTAATCCTAAAGAAACCGAAGTCTCCAACACGCCCCACAGCGACGAAGTCGTGGCTTCTGCTTCGTCGCACGATACCACCTCCACTGCATCTACAAGCCATAACCCCACCACCTATGATTTGAGGAGTCAAGAAATCAGTGACATAACCAAGGCCCTCTTGCCCTCGGAAATCCAAGAGCAACAAATCCATCTCAGATTGAACCCTGGCTCAAACGTCAAAAGCTTGCAGAGACGCCCATGGACCCGAGAAGAAGAAAAGGCTCTCAGACACGCATTAGAATTGAAGGGCCCTCTGTGGTCCAACATCTTGGAATTGTTTGGTGCTGGAGGAAAAATCTCCGAAGCCTTGAAAAACAGATCCCAGGTACAGCTCAAGGACAAAGCCAGAAACTGGAAGATGTTCTTCCTAAAGTCCGGTCTACCTGTCCCTGCATACTTACAGAAGGTTACCGGTGACCTTGAAAGAGATGACAGGCTGAGACAAAACAAAAGGTTAAATAGGAATAGGAAAACAGCTGCTGCACCGGTTCCCACTCCAATCCAAAACCAGAAGTCCCCCGGTCAGTAGAATACATAATAGGAAAAGAATAACTTCAAACCATATTGTGGGACCCTGAAACATAGAAATCTAAAATTGCGTGCCACCGCAAGTGTAATCGAGGTGAGCACGGTTTTGCTGACGACTTTTGTTTGTATGGAGACTCACTCACATTAAAGTTAAAAATAATTTCTGTTTCATGCATTATCCCCTTCCTATTTTGCTTGTTCTTGTAGATAAGATGCCCTATTGGGTACGGTTGTTTGGAGAAAAGTTGTGATGAATTCATCACGAAATGTGGGACTTTCCTATTTCGTGATGTTATCGTGCCTTCTAATAAGCTATGACAAAAATAACGATTTGGGGCTCAGGTACTAATAGATGAACATTGGAGATCCAGGACTAAAACTTATATAATTCATGCATGGGTTTGCTCATGTGTTTTGTTTAATTAATTTCATAAATTCAATTGTAATATAGTGATACAGTAATGATAAAAAGTAATAGTGGCACGTACCAACTAGATATTCAGAAACGGATTGCTAGTGCTAGGCAAGAGACACGAACGTTATATTATGAAGTAGAGAACATTCGGAATCGAATTCAAGATGCCACACTCTTCAAGGTGGCGAGTGATGTTGAAATGCTCTCCTCTGACAAGTTTAATTTGAAGTTGTACAATACATTACGGGGTCATCAAAATAAAATTGCCCAAATACGGTGGAATTCGAATTCTAGACATATCTTGTCAGCGAGTCAAGATGGATACATGATTATCTGGGATACAGTTAGTGGGTTTAAGAAACATGCTATATCGTTAGAGAATCAGTGGGTTTTAGCGTGCGCTATTGCCCCGAAGGGAGAAAGTGTTGCATCTGGGGGTTTAGATAATACTTTGACAGTGTACAATATAAAACCCCGAAATTACCAGTATGGGGCCCATGACCAGTACCAGACATCCATCCGATCGTTATTCAAGGGACACAAGGCATATATTTCTGATTGCGATTATATTAGCAATGAGAAGCTCATCACGGCCAGTGGTGACATGACATGTATTATGTGGGACATAAATAAAGGAGGAAAGGTGAGAGACTTCGTGGATCATATAGGCGACGTGTTGGTATTAGCCAAGTTCTCCGATACCCAAGGGAACCCTGAATCACCCATCTTCGTATCTGGGAGCTCAGATGGGTATGCCAAAATCTGGGATCTTAGGTGCCAATTTGCGGTACAAAGTTTTCCAGTTTCCAACAGTGATATTAATTGCATAAAGGTCTTTCCAGATAATCATTCGTTCATGACAGGTTCCGATGATGGGATCATACGGCTTTTTGATATGAGATCTGATTGCGAGTTGAGTAATTATTCATTATCAGCCAATCTTCATAAGCTAGATCTCAATAATTTGCGCCCGCCAGTCAGTCGGTCGTATCCAGAAAGTCCGACTGATCAGATCAGCAGGGTTGAATCCACCAACTCCAGCTATGATACTCCCGGAGTAGTATCACTAGACTTTAGTAGGTCAGGGAGATTGCTATATAGCTGTTACTCGGACTATGGCTGCATCATATGGGACACATTAAAGGGTAACATTGTAGGTGCCTTGGGGATGGCAGGCCATTTGAATAAGGTTAATCAAGTAAGTTCGAGCCCCGATGGTCTAATCATCTGCACAGCATCGTGGGACCAAACCATAAAGGTTTGGTCCGTGTAAAGGGAGAAGTTCCCGTTAGACAAGACTAGCATACATGTCAAAAGCATGTCGAATGCTACCTTTGATAATACATTACAGAACAATTTTGCGAGCTATATATAGCATATATTTCAATACAAATTACAAAGACATTTATATAATAATTACAATTATGCATCACCAGTATGATTCTTGACGTAGTCCCAGAGACTCTTCAAGAGCGATTCGGGTAAAGTGTATAAATCCATCGTGAATTCACCATTATCGATATCGTTCTTAATATTCATATCATTAGTTCTATTGTCGGTAACCATTTGAACTATAACTATCAAATCATCTTCATTCAACTTGGTCAAACCATTGGCCAATTGCTCCAAGTCGATTTGACCCTTCATTGGTGTACCATTACCACTAGCACTCTTTTGTTTCTTCAATTTGTTGCTGGAATCGGCATCGTTTTTACGTTTGTTAGTATCCAAGTTGTTATTTGCTGGAACAGGACCACTTTCTAGTAACAAGCTATTTAAAACTTGTGATCTATTTGTAGGAATGGAAATCGTATGGTCAAGGGTGTACGTTTCTTGTAAAAAATTCAAGTCATGATTGAACTTTCTTTCGCTTTGTTTTCCTGATAACCCAACAATGTGGACTGTAATTGGGATATCGAATTCACCCCATCCTTGTTCCTCAACCTTGAATGGTTGAGTCTTGAGGGTTCTTATTGGGTTGGCAAATGTAGGATGCAACGAATACGTGACTTTGTCCAAAATGTTAGCAGGTATCTCATTACCAGATTGGTCTAACATTGTGATTTGGACTGACCATTGTCTAATAGGGTAATTCTCTACTGGTGGTAAATCTTTCAAGATATGTTGTTGAGTTGTAATTCTTATAGTTCTTTTAACCTAAAATCATTATGTTAGTTTAAAACATCATTTCTATAATTCTCTTGTTACTTAACTTACTTCTGACATATTACTGTGATTAATTGATTGACTGTATTAACAAATGTGTGTTTTAATACGAATAGCTATAGCAAAAACAGAAAATTTTACCAGTCCTAATTATCAACTAAACAAATTACACAAAATTATAAATGTCTTTATATGAAAAATCAACTATCATAGACTATAATAACACTATAAATGTGAAGCAAGGAGCAAGTAGTAAGTAGTAGACACTTAGACTGGAAGCACTGGATTCGTGCTCATTGGATTCGGTTTCTTCCTCCGGTCTTAGGATGTGCCATGGTCTTGCAAGTGTCGAAGACATACTTTCATTCGTAGACACGGTTGAACTTTCATTGGAGCTTGATTGCTTCAGATAACCAGATATCATCATGGATTTGGATGTTCCTGTAGAAGACAGTAATGTAATGTATATTGTTTCGGTTTCGGTTTCGGTTTCTTCCGAATTTAATTGGGATAATGGCTTTGCTTGTCGGGTATTTTCAAGGCCCAGTTGACTAGGGGCCGGTTTTAAGGTAAATATCGGCGAATAAGACAGTTTTCTTGGATAAGTTCGGGATAATGCTGGAAGAGAAGAAGATAATCCAGGTGAAAGAGAAGCGGTAGTGCTTAATCTACTGCGCATAGAGTAGTACGATGTTTTGGGATTGTATGTTGAACCACTTTGATATCTACCAGTGGAATGTGTTGACAGACTTGGTGACATACTTGAGGAGATGCTTGGTGAAATTATTGAGAAACTTGTTGGCCCTTCTTCTGTGATATATGAACTATGTTTTCTATGGGATATTTTTGGGGCATTTGATTTTGAACTAATGGTGGTTGGCTTGACATTGTTTTCTGGTGTCGAACTCATATGGTTTTCTACATTTGACTTGGCCGTTGTTAGGGTTGAACTTTCGCTGGTACGATGGATATGCTCATACGACTCAGAAAGACTGAAAGTTGGTTCTGCTGGAGGTAATTGCTGTTGTTCTGTGTGGAGTTCTTCTGTTTCGTGTTCATGCGATGCATTTTCAGTGGAGGGGCTAGTTTGCTTTGGGATATGAGATATAGCAGTGTGGTGTTCTTCTGTTTGATGTCCATGCGATGCATTTTCAGTGGAGGGGCTAGTTTGCTTTGGTATTTGCGACGTAGGCAAGATTCTAAATGAACCTTCACTAGCGTGAGTTGAATGCACGATGCCTTGCAGCTTAGACGCACTTCTGAGTTCACTGTGGCTCTTCCTTCCAGCGTTGGTGTTTGTCTTGATGCTTGGCGAACTAGAGTGCCTTTCAACAGTAGAATGCGTCTTCCAACCGGCGTGATTGTCTGTTTTAGACGTTTCCTTGAATACGTCGCTCCAGAATTCGCTTGGCCATTCCTCTGACCAGTTTTCATCACTCCAATAATCAGACCAATTATCCTCTGGCAGAATAGTTGGCTTGTTTATTTGGCTTGTATGACTGGACATAGTCTTCTGACTGGCAGTAGGAGGGTAGTATAAATCCAGACTGGGCTCCATTGTGACCTTTGTCTCCATGGAAGTCGTAATCGAGCCTTCATTTTCATAAGACGTTTCTAAGACTGTTTCATGCGGTAGAGTCTTCATAGCCGTACTAATAGACGATTGATTGCTAGTTGAACTCACAATGCTAAGTGGTATCAGGCTTGACACCAGCAATTTTTCTGTCTCCGTACGCGACGTAGTTCTTTCTTCATTATCTGCGTATGTAGTTTCATCGGTTGTAGGATGCTCTGATTTTGCAGTGTTTGTGATCAAATCCTGGGTAGTACCTGTAGTGTGATACAATGTCTGTGTTTGTGACGTTGGGGTCTCGGTCTCTGCAACCGTTGTAACTATCTCCTCGCTGCTAGTACTACTAGTGTCATCTATAATGGTGTGCTCTGATGTACTAATATATGTACTTAGACTGGCATTATGAATGGTTGAGCTGATGTTGTGGTAGCTTGTGCTAGTGCTAATATTGTGGTACCCAGTAATAAAACTGACATTGTGATGTACAGAAGTCAGGGTATTATAGTAATGACCACGAGTAGAAGAAATATAAATGCTTGGGAATGCCAGCGACTGAATTCCGTGCTCTGATGACATGCTACCAGTCATTGCCTGATTCTCTAAGTGTTTAGAGTCCGTGGCAATCACAGAACTCATTCCTCTATTTTTATCCAAAGAACCATGATGGCTTCGTCTGCTCGTACTAAAGTTAGTCCGAAGCACATAATCTGGACTTAATGTGGTAGAAATTACCTTGGGCATTTCAGCATATCTATCCCACTCGTCACCTTCATACTTGGGGATTTCTCCAGGTGTATCAATACTTTTCGATTCCTTTGGTTCACATGCACATGTGGACAAAGTCAATGTGCTGATACATAGATTTGTGGAGTCTACCAGCTGAGACGGTAGCATGTCAACCACGCTGGTTTCATTTCCATCAACTTTTCCAATACCACTACTAGCGGAAATCAATGTTTCGTTTCTATCTAGTGCTTTGGAAATTGCAATAGTTCCCACCAATAATATCAAGTTACTGAATTTCATATTCTTTACTTTCAACATTTCGCAGCTATCGGATATTCTAATCTATAGTTTATATCTGTTTCGAAGTCAATGTTATTTGGAATATTAGACAATTACAGAACCATTTCTTTATTCCATAATTAATTTGGGGCTTTTGTTGCCCGAAACTGGGTGTACAATTAGGATTTTGCTATATAGCTCCACAAAACATCCTATACTTGAGCCGTCTTTTCAAGTATTTCTGTGGAACAGCTTAAGCACTCCTACTTAAAAAAAAACTTCCAGCCAGACCACAGAAGTATTTTTTTTTATCGTATCTCTGCATAGGTCCATTTGGATGTACTCTATCGTATTTGATATTTCCGTTGATAACATAGCCATATACAGATAGTTGCAGCCAATAGTCTGGTGATATTCCGAACACTGCATTCCTGTATATTATCATTTCCGTTATTCGTCCATTATGAACACCACGATGGTGGTTCTAGACAATAGAAGGGGCCAATTCTTTCGATCGATGAGGAAAGAACCTAATATACATGATAATGCGTGTTCTGCGGCTATGCATACGACAGGCCGGAATTTTTGATTGAAAATAACAACCTCGCTAAGGGTTTTTACTCGTTGCAGACGTTTAGTAGCCACGTTAGCCACAGAAATTAGGGCGTATTGTTTTAATGATTCATGGTTGATTTATTTCATATTTGAGTTCAGGGCTTTCAATGTAGATTATATTTATAAATATTGGGCGAAGGAAAGTCTAATATCTCGATAAAGAAATTTTATTAAATTAGGAAAGTAAAGGTATCGCAATAGATATTGATAAACAGATAAAGTTTACCCTGCAAATACAAGCAAAATACTGTAGTCAGGACTACTAGAGAGGTATTTTTTGGTCTAGAATTACGTAAAGGAAATAAAAAGGACGGCTATTTAAGGGAAGCAGAAAGCACTATTGATATTCAACCACGACTAGCCATGAGTATGATTGATCATGTTGTCAGCGACTGGAATAGTTGTAATGGGAAGTCAAGTTCTACCACCAGTTTAACAGAAGAATCGGCGATTTCGAAATCATATGATAACCTACCAAGGTTCACCAACTTGTCAGTTTTCCATGTAAATCTGTGCAATTATCCTCTAGCAAATGCTACCAGTTCTGATTTAGACTTTGAAACCCATTGCCGGATTGAAGGTTATGAATCCAGTGAAAAATCAACTAGGAATACACCAGAAATTGTGGATAATGAGTTCTACATCCAGTCGTTCAATAGTAAACTTAGTCCTGTGTCTGATCATCCTAACATTTTTCGGATCCAAAACATCGATGATTTCCTAGAACTCTTTCAATTCAACTATACCAGCAAATTATTACCTTCCGAGAAATGTTTTCCTTATTTTCATGGATTGAATAGTATTAGGCAACGAATCTTTTTTTGTGGGAACCTGAATATTGAAAGCCATGACTCCTTGACTCTTCGAAACAGTGTTGTCTTGCCTGATCTGTTAAGAGAACATTTCCACTTAATGTTCATTAACTCAAAAGAATCAGGTCGTCAGCTAAACAATCTGTGTCATTTAAGTGATTTACTTACACCCAAAGAAGAAAGGATTAATTTTAATGCACCACAAGAACATGCTGAGTTTATTCAATACAAAGAATTTAATCATGTTAATGAATTTTCCCCAGTACTAAACGAATTGAACAATCGTAACTTTTCTCTGCAAATGAAACTAATGGCACCATTGTCTAACTTTCTAATTTACAATGATTCGATGGACTTTTCAATCAACTTGAACTCAGCATTAACCATAAATAAATTGACAACAGATAAATTTATTTATATTGTTGACATACCACTACAGGACTGGAACCTGGTGGATCCAAACTATTTCACCGATATGCATGAAGATGACTTATTCCGCAAGGAGCAGAATATGCTTTTCAAGCTAAATTCTATGAAATCCCCATTTCCCAATGTCTTTACAGGTGCAATAAAAGATTTTCAAAATTTGTATTCTACTGACCATGGTTTTAAAATGTTTATTCACTGTCATAAAGATGCGGAGTTTCCTAAATTGTCTGAATTGCAGAAGTTTCTAGACAATATGAAGCACGATGTACCTTTATATTTGGAATTCCCGTCTTCTGGCTCATTAAATTCGTCATCAATAACATTCAATCAAACTTTATGTTACCTAAACATTTTGAAATTGATACATCATTATGTTAAGATTCATGACGAAAATGTCTTTATTTTCTCTGGTGATGGATTTACAGAATTATCGATGTTAACCTTATCACTAGGCTGTCTTTGGGACGTCGATAAGAAATGTGGGTTAATTGAGGAAGTGATATTAACATTGTTGGGTAGTGACAGAGAATTACGTCTTTATTTTTTTAAAAATGACTTGGTGTTTTTAAAAAAAGTCGAAAGAATAATTAATTGGATTAAGTTATTGAAATTAAATGATCGAGATCTTATCATTGATTTAGATTATGAAGAAATTAATGTCTATTATAATCTAAGTCTTCAAAAGATTCCTCCGTTACGTTATGATTGGTTCAGCTTTGAAGAAGACAACAACTTCCCGTCAAAAATTTTACCTAATTTATACCTTGGTTCACTCAAGCATGCTTCATCATATATCGTAACTGAGTGTTTAAAAATTTCCAAGATTATATGTGTTGGTGAAAGACCACTTTGGTTCAGTCAATTAAATGTTATTTTTGAGCATGAAATGAATGAAATTGACCCCACAAACAAAGAAGTTATAAAGCCTATTTATTCTTTTAATCATAATCTTGCAAAGGTTTATGAAGTTTCCGATATTAACCTAAAGAGATATCCTACAATAAAACTGATCATTTTTATATATAATTTGAAAGATGACGGTAGAGATTCAATGATGCCTTTGCTTACAGATTGTCCTCCTGAAGTCCAATCGAAAATCTTAATTAATCCCGAGAACTTGCATGAGAATACTTTGATTCACTGTAGAATTGGTGTTTCTAGGTCGGCAACATTGGCCATAGCTCTGGTTATGAAATTTGGGAACATGTCATTAATAGATGCCTACATGTTTGTAAGAGTCCGAAGGTTTAACATTATTATCCAACCTAATTTAAGGCTTTTCTACGAATTATTTTGCTTCGAAGAGTATTTAAATCAGGGCCATAAGACACACTCTTGGTGGAATTTATGTCATGACATTTCTAAACTCAACAGGCACTATTTCAATTAGATTTTATTTATTAGATTTTATTATGATATTTTTACTTATTATTTTCAGTTCATATACACATTATATCAATGGTTACACTTTTTTCTTCCAGTATGTATACTTGTAAGTAAAATCGCCCTCTGTGATTTCCACGTCCTCATTATCTATCCCAGTAAATTTCAGCAAATCTTCATTTGTTTGCTTAGTCCAATCACTCGATTCTGTGTATATGGGAAATTTCAACCATGTATCCACTTCCACCGGTCTGGTACTTTTAATTTCTGTCATGAGTAAATGTTGTACTTTCTCGTGTGAAATGAGCTTATTATATAATTCTGATCCACCTATAATAAATATTTTCTCTACCGGTTTGCCATATTCTTCAATCCTAGCCAATGCATTTTCAATAGAATTTGTCAATATAATGTCCTCATCATTTGACCCATGACTGACGTATGATCTGGACAAAACTATATTCAACCGTCCTGGTAAAGGTCTAAATTTCATAGGTATAGACTCCCATGTCTTACGGCCCATTATAACTGCATTTATACTGTTAGGGTCTTTAGTTGTAGTTGTAACATTCTTAAAGTACTTTATCTCTTGTCTCAATCTCCACGGCATTTTTCCTTTTATTCCAATTCCTAACTCCGGTAAAAGGGCTGCCACGATCATGGCAATAGGGGGTGTTACCTTTCCATTAGTTACTGTCATATTGGCTGTTTAGTTGATAACTAATACTTCTATCTGATAATAGCATTTAACAAAAAGTGTTGATAATGCGATCATGCAAATACGCGACTCATCTACACGATACATAAACAAATAAACAATATATTAATAGTACACATTAATATACACCATAACACATTTTAGGAGAATAACTTGAGTTGATAATAGCACCGTAAACCCATAAATAAACCATTAATACAAAATTGATAAGAAAGAAATACTAATATACAAATTGGCTGAGAGAAAAGCATGCCCACAGTATTGTTCAATTATTTCTTTGCGGATTTCTTTGTAGCAGCTTTCTTAACAGGAGCCTTCTTGGTGGCTGGCTTCGTCACCTTCTTAGCAGCAGCCTTCTTCGGAGCAGCAGCCTTAGTAGTAGGTTTCTTGGTGACCTTCTTTGCTGCTGGTTTGGTAGCAGCAGACTTCTTAGCTACGGGTTTCTTGGCCACGGTCTTCTTCTTAGCAGCCGGAGCAACTTTAGAGGCGGCCTTAGGAGCAGTCTTTTTCGTGTTGGTTTTCTTGGTGGTGGTGGTAGCCTTAGAAGTTGGTTTGCTTGGTTTGCTTGGTTTAGTAACCTTGGCTTCAACAGGAGCAATCTTACCCTTCTTTGCCAATTTGACAGGCCCTGAAGGCCCCTTTGGTTGGAGGAAGTCACCGGTTTCAACCCCCTTTCTTAAAGCGGTGTTGAATAAAGAATCAAAGTTAACAGCGTTGATCTTGTAATTAGACTGGACGTATTTCTTCAATCCTTGACGACTATATAACAGTTAGTGATTGGCCCGAATAGGCTATTGCTTCAGCATTTCAATACATACGATGAACCGTTTCTTTCCTTTAATGTTTCAATTGCTGATTTGATCATATCTATGATGTTAGTACTAAATTCAGATGTGGGAACCGCTTTTTGGGGCCTAATTTTTTTTATTCCTTCTCATGTCATACGTACCTTTGTAAGTTAATTTAGAAGCTGGTAAAGCTTCAGCTTTGGATATTTTTGTCTTTGGGGCCATTGGAGTCGATTATAGAATGTTTATTTAAAATTAAATGAAGAAAAGGAAATAAATTAATAAATAAACAAGGGCGAAATAGGTTTGGAATGACTTCAAAACAAATTGCAAAAAATAGTGCGCAATACAATAACAACCATTCATCACCGACTACGAAATAGCAGCAGCAACAGGAACAATATAGCATAACCGAGATCTCCTTTACTAAGAGCGATATCTTCTTTCCCTATTTTGTCTTTTTCTGGCGTAATTTACACAATAGAAAAGCATTTATTTCGATTGACAAAAATAATATCATTAATCATTATGTTTAAAAATAATATATACAGATATGAGTGTTTATCAATTAAGGACAAACCTCGGCTTCACTCCACAGCTGAGTAGAATCTTTAGCATATATGTACCGTCTATCCTTGTCAAGCTCATACAAATCCACGTAATCTATAAAAAGGCCAACGACTGCGAAATTCTTCAAGCCATCCTCGTCCTTCTTACCATCGACTCCCCTATTTATAGAATCTATTAACTTCTGGTTTTCGTCGTTTATAGGTGTTGTAGGGGTAGGTTTCCTAAACGATTTCTTCAAGGGTTTACTCAAGTTGAACCACAAGCGTTTGTGTTCAGTCTCCCATTCTTGGTCGGTAGGAGGGTAGTAGTCAATGTGGGACAAGTCCTGCAAATTGGTGTACGAAATATTCTCTGATGATTTCTGCTTCTGGACTTGTGACAAGAGCGACGGTGAGAGAAGACTGTGGCTAATAGGGGTCACTTGGCACGATGAATCGTTTTCGGATCCCGAATTGAGCGACGAAGATGTGTTAGTGGCTTTTATTTCGAGTTCTTCTTCGTCGTCATCTTCTTCCGAATCGCTGTCACTAGAGTTCTGGTAGTTGTTCTGTATTATGGTCTTTGGTTGTATACTAGACAAGTCGATGACCGGTTTGTATGTGTTGTCGATGATTCTTGCCATACCTCGGAACCTGAACTGTTTCCTGATCTTGGGGAAGTAAAATACCGCTTCGAACTTATCGTTCGCCAACAATTCCTTGTATTTATTGGTTCTCTTGTCTGTCACACACGTAATCACGTTGCTATGTCTATCGTCAAATAAGAATCCTCTATAAACAAGCGTCCTGACATGAGGAAATCCCTGAGCATCAACGGTAGCAAATTGAAAAGTGATGAACGGAGGATCGTTCTCGTTGGCCGCCAATTCAGCCTCTGTGGCCGATTTGAACGTGGGGATCCATGGCGCCATATATTGAAATTGTAACATATTCCGGATTATTCTACTTGTAAATCTTTGGTGAGCGTATCTATCCGTTTTTCTATCCGTTTTTCTATCTTTTGTTCTATCCTTCAATCAGGTCTTCCAAGGTCTACTTATTCGTCCTCTTTAATGAAAGGAATAACCCAGTTATTGTGATTAGTGCTCAAAAACTTGCAATTAGTTTTTTATTTACGTTTGCCGTAATAATTCTTGTACTCCCACGAACAACGATGATCAGAGAATTTTTTATTTCGGCCTTATGTTCTAAGTGCACAAATAAATATTTGTTTATTGTCTTCTATCAATTATACTATAGATCTGGTGGTGTCTATACTTACGTGTAGATATTACTCTAATATAAATGTACAATATGTCAATTTTTCATATTCCTAAGCTCTTCTGACCACTAAATTTTCATTGTCTACAATCGTGGTAACTCCTCGTGGGTTCCACGCAATATACAGGGGTTCTACTAACCAGATGCCTAACGTACGCCATTTATAACATACGCTGTTTTGATTAAGCATCTGAATTTACATTGGTATGTTACACGTTTCAACTTTATTATTCTATGACGCTGCGTAGTTTTGTCTCATGTGGTTCCGATGCCCTACTTTTACCCTCTATATTTGCGACTCATATTTCGGATCGGTAATGCTAAAAATACTAGTTAGTTTATTCGATGCAATAAACTTAAGGTAAGTACCAGTTGTAGAATGTGAGGAATTGTTCCATCTGAACCAGTTCGTGTGATTAGTGAGAAATTGAGTGTGATATTCATCAATGGCACTTTGCACAGTGGGATCAAGATTTCAGGGGCGTATCGAAGCTATTTCATTTAGCACCATTACATATTTTACACAAAATGACATGTTGTCGTTTACGTTCTCTATCAGATGCGTCTCTGTCGAAGTATCCCGTATCATAATAACGCTTACCGTAAATACCAATTAATGAACCAATAATAAAACTACGTGATAATCTGAATAAATCTTTGCCAGTAAATTTTCATGTCTATTCTCTAAAACTTGGTAGTATCCTAAAGCTTTCTAGAACCACTCTTAAATCAATTAATATTAATCAAATCAGCCTGGGTTCAAATGTGAATGAGCACGGACATACCCAGTAGCTTTGAAAGGGCCATAAGAAATTTCTAAAACAAAAGCAGTAACCTCACTATATATACGATTAATTTTACGGAACTAATAGGAATTGGGTACTCTGGCCGAGTTGGTCTAAGGCGCCAGGGTAAGGTCCTGGTCTCTTCGGAGGCGCGAGTTCGAATCTCGCGGGTATCATTATCCATTACCAGCGATTCCTTTCTTTTTTGCTAGTGAACACAAATGCATAAGAAGTCTAATACACCTAAAAGGATGAAATTGTGAAATTGTAGTACAAAGTAGCTGAATGTTGGCCGCATTGACGAGTATCAATGCTATAGTGAAAATTTGGTAACTTAAGACAGGAAAACACTACACTATATAATTATCTGCAGAATATTAAGTATGCATTGACTATGGAAATACTGAATAGAGGAGGAAGAATCGGAATGTCATATCTAGCATAACATTTTTTGCCCAATATCAAATTGGGAATTAGGAGGGAAACTTAGCTCACATTATAACACAGCATTTGGACTTGTTCTTGGAATCAGGATTGGAGGCGTCTTTTTTGACTTGATTAGAACGGGTTTTTTTAGACAGGTTTTTATTCTTAGAAGTAGCGTTTGTAGCATCAGCGGCGACCACGTTATTATCACCTGCTTCATCCGCCGTCACCTCGCTCTGCTTTTGCAATTCCTTCTGTTGTTTCTTTTCTGCGCTGGTAGCTGCATCTTTTCTCATAATTTGTCTTACAACGTCGACGAATGCCTCGTCGACGTTTGTCTTATACATGGCACTGGTTTCATAAAATGGCACAAGACCCCAATCCTGTGAAACTTTTATACCATCATCTATACTTAATTCTCTATCGTCATTTAAATCACATTTGTTACCAATTAATACCATTGGCACGTTATCAGAATCCTTGATACGCAATACCTGTTCTCTCAACGCCAACAACTCTTTCAACGAGTTTTCGTCGGTCACAGAATACACCAACAAGAATCCCTTACCTGATTTAATGTACAATTCTCTCATGGCTGTGAATTGGGCTACCCCGGCCGTATCCAAAATTTCCAAATCACAGGCCCTACCATCTATTTCAATTTGCTTTCTGTATGAGTCTTCGATAGTTGGGTCGTAACTTTCAACGTACACCCCCTGAACAAATTGGACAGTAACTGACGATTTACCAACCCCACCAGCACCTAAAACTACTACTTTATAATCTATGCTTGTTAGTATGACACAAATTCCTTGTAATATCTAGTTTCTAATGTACATACCTCTCATGTTCCTATCAATCACCTAATTGAACTATGCGTACTACTGGTATATATATATCGGAATTATAGCACTGTAAAATTTATCTGATAATATATGAAATATTGTTGTTTTTAAAAATTTATCAAAAACGTACCGATTTTCTTAACGTGTCACTAAACGAAAATACCGAGTTTCGATTATTGCAATATGTTGTTGAACTACAAGCAATTGAATACATCAATAATGAACAATATATAAGCATAAATAGTGAATTACATATATAAAATAAATATATCATCCAACTTTCTTTAATTGCATTAAAGTTGAAGCAGACTCTCGAAACCTTCGAATCAACTAATAATGCAAAACATCTGGCACAGGACCTAAAGGTGTAATACCATTAGGATTTATACCAACGTGAGACTTGGTGTAATGACATTTAATATGATGGAAGTCGGTTGTTTCGTTGAAACCTGGAATTTTCCAGTATAATAATCTCAACCAATTGTGAATATTAGGATAATCGTATCTGATCATCTTTAAATTACATTTGAAATGTTGGACATAAACGGCGTCGAATCTTACAATTGTAGTAAATAATCTAATATCGGCCTCTGTAATTTTGTTATCTAATAAAAATTCGATTTTATTAGGACNTTCGTGGTTCTTGGCCAAGATCAGTTCAACTTTGTCAAGATGATTGAAAACATTGACCACTTCCTTGTCATAAACCTCTTGTTTAGTAGAGAAACCGGTCTTATAAACACCATTGTTTATATTGTCATAAATCCATGAATTGATTTCATCGATAGCCTCTCTCATGTCTTGTGAATACAAATCTAACTCGGCATATTCGGATGATAGTAACGAATTGAATTCACTGTTAAGCATTCTCAAGATCTCACTCGATTCGTTGTTAACGATGGTTTCCAACTTCTTGTCCCATAAAACTGGAACGGTAAATCTACCCGAATACTCTGGATCTGCCTTGAAGTACAATTGCTTAATTCTATCAAATCCGTATAAGTGGTCTTCAGTACCGTTCAGGATATCGCTATTTGATGTCCTTTTACTGGCTTCTTCCTTATTGATAAATCTCCACCCATTATTATCCATGTGCCAATGCACAACCGAAACTGATATAATTTGAGTCAATCCTTTCAAAACTCTAGTAATCAATGTCCTGTGGGCCCATGGACATGCCATTGACACATACAAGTGATAACGGTTCAATTCAGGTTTAAATTTGGAATTTTCAGCATTGGAAATGAAATTACGGAATTTCGATGATTGTCTCTTATAAGACCCGGAATCATCAGCGAACTTCAAAATCTCAATTGGTTTACCTTCTTTGTTTGTGGCCATTGTGATATGTGAATGAATTGACTATTTAGTTGTTTAATTGTCTTCGTCTAGAATAATCTGAATTGTAACTAAATATTAGATTTGATTTGCTCTGGGGGGGTGAATATTACAATTGCTGCGGTCACATGAGGAACTATACGAATTTTAGTAACACATTATTAATTCTTCAACCGTTGATAATGCAATCTAAATTGTAGTCGTATCACCCCAAAGGTTAATTCATCATACGAGTTATAATATGTACCTTACTTTCGGGAGTTGTTGATCATCGTTTTATCTAAATTTCATGCACCTCATATAAGGTTCACGAATTGCTGCAACTAGACCCTGCTACTAATACGGAAAAATAGGGCCAATTGGTGTGAGGGAAATTTAGAATTTCAGTACTAAATGACTCAATTGTCAGGTCAAATTTACAAATGTAGAGTATATAATCAATGAATCGGATATAATAGTAAATCGAATATATGAAACTAAGTAATTATCAGGGTTTCGTTGCATTGCTCTAAGAATAATTCAATATGTTCGGTACAGGACCTAGAGGTGTAATACCATTAGGATTTATACCAGGCTGAGCTTTGGTGTAAGCGTATTTGATATGATTGAAATCGGTTGTTTCTTTGAAACCTGGAATTTTCCAATATAAAAATCTTAACCATTTGTGAATATTAGGATAATCGTATCTGATCATCTTTAAATTACATTTGAAATGTTGGACATAAACGGCGTCGAATCTTACAATTGTAGTAAATAATCTAATATCGGCCTCTGTAATTTTGTTATCTAATAAAAATTCGATTTTATTAGGACNTTCGTGGTTCTTGGCCAAGATCAGTTCAACTTTGTCAAGATGATTGAAAACATTGACCACTTCCTTGTCATAAACCTCTTGTTTAGTAGAGAAACCGGTCTTATAAACACCATTGTTTATATTGTCATAAATCCATGAATTGATTTCATCGATAGCCTCTCTCATGTCTTGTGAATACAAATCTAACTCGGCATATTCGGATGATAGTAACGAATTGAATTCACTGTTAAGCATTCTCAAGATCTCACTCGATTCGTTGTTAACGATGGTTTCCAACTTCTTGTCCCATAAAACTGGAACGGTAAATCTACCCGAATACTCTGGATCTGCCTTGAAGTACAATTGCTTAATTCTATCAAATCCGTATAAGTGGTCTTCAGTACCGTTCAGGATATCGCTATTTGATGTCCTTTTACTGGCTTCTTCCTTATTGATAAATCTCCACCCATTATTATCCATGTGCCAATGCACAACCGAAACTGATATAATTTGAGTCAATCCTTTCAAAACTCTAGTGATTAATGTTCTGTGGGCCCATGGGCATGCCATTGACACATACAAATGATAACGATTCAACTCAGGCCTAAACCTGGCATTCTCGGCACTGGAAACGAAATTACGGAATTTCGATGATTGTCTCTTAAAGGCTCCTGTTTCATCGGCAACATTCAAGTTCCCAAGCAGTTTATCTCCTTTCTCTGTGGCCATTTTGATACGTAACTGACTATCTAGGTGTCCGTTTAGTTGTTCAATTGTCTTTAAGGATATCCCATAAGCACGTGAGCAAACCTATTACTAGTTCATGGATTGTTAATTTATTGCTAAGTGTATTTTTTGCTTATAATTGGAGTCAATACTTACGTTAGTTAGCATGGTTCTAGCGTGACTAGTATCTTCTTTTCATGGTGCTTTTGATTGACCCCGATTGTATTGCATATTTTGTAATAAGAAAAAAAGAACAATTTGCAGCAATTAGCCACTACGAGTATCAAAGGAGTTGGAAGAAATTTAGCTTGCAAATGCAATTTCAGTATTTCATTACTAATTATCCCATTCGCAGCTTGGTGAATTTCCTTTTAAGCATATATAAAAGAATCCCCTTACAAAGGTTTACAAAGGACCACTTGACCATGGATAGAAGAATTACCCTACACCCCTAAAAACCCTAACCTAAGAACCGTTTAATCCAGCTGGCATATCCTTTCAAGAACAAATGTAGCATATGCTTCAAAACACCCGAAGCACAATTCAAACAATTCTTCTTGTTGTGTCTTCTCTCTTCCCTGATAACTTTCTCTTACCGAAAGTACTTATATCATAAATTGAGAAACTCTTATTTATTCCTATTTCTTGTTGTTCATAATTTCTTATGTACCATCATTAAAATACAACATTACTTTGACAATAATTGTAATTTAGATATTTTCTTGCAAGAATCTAAAATTTTCGCCATATTACTTCATAGATATACATATAAGCAAAATAAAAAACAAAATCTTGTTTTGAAATCCTAAATACCCAGACAATCCATAAGTTCTCTTCCGATATCATATTTGGGTGATTCCACTAACTAATCGTTGATAGTGAATAATTTTGCAATCGTTTGTTGAAAAAACCACAAAATTGTCCTCAGAGACGAGGGAGAAAAAACATAATACACAAATAAAATCCTCACTGTAAGCGGCTCATGTATATACTTATCAAACAATCAAATACATAAGTTGAAATAGATCTATTGATAGTGATAATAGGGTGTTATCTGGTAAAAACAGTTAATGGAATAGAAAATACGGCATCGATAGGCTATTTAAATTCTAAAAAGACGTGAATTAACAATATGTCCCAAATGCAAGATATAAAAGCTAAACAAACAAAAGATGAAGGTGGAAGCGAAGATAAACCTTCGGATAAGAAGACTAAAGTAGAAAAAGGAAGGGAAGAACAGGAAAAGTCTGGGAGTGGGTATTTAGGAGAAGAAAAGTTGAATATGAACAAGCTAACGACGGTCGGAGGAACAGATAACCAGCAAACGGCATCTGCTGCTTTATCGCAACAGCAACAGCCTCAGAAAGCGCCTCCACAAATTCCACCATATATGGGTTATTATAATGGAGTGATGCCACCATTCTATCAATCGTTTCCGTATTCCAATGTTTCGAATGCTCCATATAAGTATTACGGACCTAAAGTTAGCCAAACGTATAGCGGAACTACGACGAATCAAATTCCACAAGAAAGTCACCAACCAAACTACCAGACAATTCAACCGCAACTTCAGGGGCAATCACAAGCACCCGCTCAGAACCAATTGCAGCCTTCAGCAAAACAGCCGCAAATGTCCTCCCAGCAAGTACAGGCACTTCAGGACCATCAGCATCACCACCAACAAATGTCGCTACCACAACATAATTCGCCCCATGGTATCGGGGTAGAAAATTTTCAAATATCTCAGTATCAACCCACAAATACCTTTAAGGTCGGAAGGCCTAAGAAGGCCGAAGACAAAATCTCGAAGAATAAATTCAACTCGAAATTCAAGACCAAAAGCATTAATGACAGGCCTTATGCGTGCTCATTTCCAGGATGTGATTGGGCATTTGCAAGGCAGTCTGATTTAAGAAGACACGCAAAGTCACATTCAGAACCAAGTTATCATTGTCCGTATTGGAGAAATGATCCAACATGTCATCGTAATGGTGGGGCATTCAACAGATTGGATGTTCTTAAGAGACATTTGAAATTGGTTCATTACGTCCAGGATAAGCACCAAATAGTTGATGGTTCTAAAGAAGATCCTGGGTGGTGCAGGGCATGTCAAAGAATGTTTCCCAACTCTAAAACTTTCATAGATCATTGCTTGGAATGTGCCCAACAGTTAACACCAGCTGAATGGAAATCTAATGATCCACTGAAACCCGAACAGAACCATCAATTAAGCAGCAATCATAGTAACCAAGGTATCCATATGTCACACCAGTACATCTCAAACAATCCTCAAACCCATAATGATAATCAAATCTACCAGATTTCAGATATACCTAAAATTAACAATCAGGATACTAATAGCATTTTACAATCACCACCACCAAACACTGCAAGCTCTGGTAATAATGGCCATGAGAATTCGTCAAGTGTACAGAATGAAAATAAGGATAATGAGTCTTTCTTTTTAGAGAAAATTCCTAGCAATCCTAATCAAAACTTTAACGTGTTTAATAATGCACCCCATACAAATTCAAGCTATTAACGGTAACATTAATAATTATTTTAAATATACATTTCAATTATTTAAATAAATTCTTAATTTAATATACACTCATTTAAACCTATCCTAATTGATTTCTTGATCAGGTTCCTCGATTCTAGTTTGGTCAAAGAAGTCTAAAATTGCACAGTTTGGATGTAAAATGTACACAGTTCTAGTATTTCTAGGTAATTCTTCTTGATCATTAATTGGTAACTGGTCATTCTCATCCAAGCTATTGGTAACGCTCATTAATATTCTATCTTTGACTAACCTCTTCAAGACCTTGTAACATAACTTTCTTTCATTATAGTATTCTTGTTCACTTTGAATATCATCTTCTTTTTGGGTTAAGTACCAATTCACGATTTGTTCTGCTGTTAACCCTTCTCCTCCATCACTATCATCATCAGAAATTTTCTTCACCAATAAATTCATCATTGCTACATATTTATCGTAAGAAATGGCAACGGATTCTTTCTTAGGCCTAGTAGGATCTGCAGAAGAAGTTGTTCTATCATCTGTTTGATCTGGAACCTCTTCTGGCCTTTCTTCATCCTCAGCATTATTGGAAGCAACAGCATTATCCGCATCATCGTCCATTTCTATATCGTCCATTTCAACTCTGATAATAGATTGTCTCAATAAATCATATGCTTCAGAAACAAAAGTTGGGGTGATTTCTTCAGTACAGTTTGCTCTTGCAATTGCTTCCGATAATCTAATCATAGATTCCAATTGTCTTACTGTAATCCTATAAGACGATCTACCTAAACCTTGAGCATCATCACTTCTCAATTCCTTATATCTTGTGACTAAAAAGTCTCTTGCCTCCTTCGTCATTTTAGGTTTGAATGTCTTCGCATATTTAATGTACCTCGATAATTGTTCGGCAGAATAAGGAGGATTAATAACGGCATCACGGAACATGTGCAAATCAACGATATGAGACGCAAGCTGGGTGTCAATTTTCTCATTACAGTCATCTAAAATAACGAAGAATAAATCAAATCTTGACATAATAGGTGCTGTCATATTTAAATTAGATCTTAAACCTAATTTACGATTGTATCGCCCACCAATTGGATTGGCTGCAGCCAAAATCGAGGTTCTTGCATTCAATGTAGCATGAATCCCAGCTTTAGCAATCGAAATAGTCTGTTGTTCCATGGCTTCGTGAATAGCAACCTGATCGACAATATCCATTTTATCGAATTCATCAATTGCACATATACCATTATCTGCCAACATTAAAGCACCCGCCTCAATGGTATGTTCTCCACTTTCCTCGTCTTTGACAACTGCTGCGGTCAAACCTGCCGCAGAAGAAGCCTTACCTGACGTATAAACAGCTCTTGGAGAAAACCCACACACATACTTAAGGAATTGTGATTTGGAAGTAGATGGATCACCTACAATACAAATATTAATATCACCTCTTAAATTAATACCATCAATTGTTTGCTTGTGAACACCCCCAAGTAATTGTAACAAAATACCCTTTTTGACCACTTCATGTCCGAAAACTGCTGGTCCAACAGACTTCACTAATTTATCATAAACATGCTCGTCTTTGACCATTTCTTTTAACTGAGCCACTTCGGCATCATTCAAAGATGTCAAAAACAACTCCTGATCACCTGGACCTTGAAAATCAATTTCGTTATTATCATAATTATCACTTGCACCTGTAGTCCTATTAATTAAGGAAGAAACATGGCATGCATGGAAAGCAATTTTATACGTAAGGTCCCTAACACCTAATGCCTTCAAACCACTCACACCAGAGTTCAACTCCGAAGAAGCCGTTCCTCGATTTTCCTTAATTGACTGTGCTTTGATACCCGGCAAACCCAATTGTGCAACATCTGGAATAACAATTTCAATACCCGTAAATTTACATTTATCACCGGGTTTTGCTCTTTCCACAGTCTCACCTCTCAAAATAACGTCCAATGTACGGGGCATGGAACCAGTTGGAATTTCGTTTGAATTTTCTTGAATTCTTACTCTTTGCCAATCGATGAACTGTGATTTGGCAACATTCAAGGTCCAGTACGATTGATTTTCACAAGATGGACAGGATGTAGGCTCAGTATACTTAAATATTTGCTCAATACCTTCAATAATTGCCGCACACATGTCACAGGTGAATGAAGCCCTATATAATTCGGGTCTCACTTCTGATGTCCTGGTAACAGTACCCAGTATGGCCATCAACGAACCAATTTTATCAGTACGTATATCACGGATTCTATTAATTGTTGGCAAATTGAAGAAAGAAATTTGAAATACTCTTTCATTAGCATTCGATGCGGCAGTAGAAGACGAACCATCGTTACTACCATTATTCACACTTTCTTCATGATGTTCACCTAACAAATTCGTGTGCAATAATGCTGGTGCATACTTCTTCAATAATCTTCTTAACCCTTTCAACAAAAATGGCATAAAACGATAGTATTGTTCTAAGATAGCTGAAGCCAACACTCCGTTCTCTCTTCCAAGCAAGTGCTGGTAGTCAATGTACAACGTACTGTATTCATATGTCTTCATCGCTTCAATTTGAGCAAGATATATTTTACCCTGCCATTGATCATCACGGTTATCGTTCTCATCGTCAACGAATGTCTCTATAAACTGTTCAAAACTTTCACGAACTTTTTCTCCGGTCACATCAACAACTTTAGGCACCGCTATTTGTTTTCTTCTTGCAGATGCTAACGGAACATTATTTTGCGGAGTTGAGGCGGTTTGACTTAAGTTAGTTTCACTAAATAATCCTGGATTATTACTCTGGAGTGGAAAATCTCCTGATCTTCCTACTGAAGATGGCGGTTGAGATGAATTAAGTAAATGAGCAGCATCTGATGGAATACGTCCCGGAGACGATACGAAATTTGCCATTGTCCACTTTTATTCTATTACTTTACTAATGGAGGAACGATTTAACTATAAATATCTTAAATCCTAAGAAAACACAATTCGTTTAGAAAGTAATAGGTATAATGTATGAATTGGAAATTAATTTCTAAGAAAACATGAACGCGTTAAAATTTAATTAAGCTTCCTAATTGGGATAAATTATCAAAAAAGGATTTCGATGGCCCTAATACTAGGAATATAATACATTCTTCAATTACTATAATCCTGTAGATTCTACGATGTTTCTGAGGATATACGCTAGAAGGTTTTCGTCTGCTGTAATCAGACAGACTGAATGTATGTTAAAAAACGGAATTCTTAGTGAGAAATATTTATGACTTTTCATGATGCTGGACATATATTGACATTGACGCAGTTCCTCCTAGTTTATTGAATATTAAAGTTGGAAAAATAATACAATGCCAGAGACATGAGAATGCAGATAAGTTATACGTGAGCCAAATTCAGATCGATGAGAATCCCATGGAAGATAATGAGAATATAGAGGCAAAAATAGTTCAGGTGTGTTCCGGATTGGTTGACTTCATACCCATAGAGCAAATGAAAGATAGAAAAGTTGCAGTTTTGGCTAACTTGAAGGCGTCCAAGCAGAGGGGAGTTAAATCAGAAGCCATGTTGTTGGCAGCAGAGAAGGGTTTCGGCAGCGATGCTGAATTGAGTGACGGAAAGGTTGAATTGATCAATCCGCCTTGGAACGCCAGGGTCGGGCAGAAATTATATTTCGCTCACTTTGTATTAGACGAATTTCCTTCAAAGTTGAAAAGTAAGGCATGGCAAGAGATACAGAAACACTTGAAAACGACTGCCACCGGTGAGGCTGCGTACGTGACAGACGAAGGTGAAGAGTGCCTCTTGAAGACCATTGACGCATCAGAAAGTGCCTTCGCAGATACTTTGACCGATGCGATAATACGTTAATATAGTCCGTATATTCATATTTAAAGCTCATAAGTGACTTATATATATATATTTCCGAGTATATTTTAAGAAGACTTTGTAGTTCTTAAGTAAGACTTCAACATTGTGAAGTCACCGAACTTGGTCTTTGCATCCTCATCTGAAACACTTGGAGGAATAATGACATCCTCACCAACAGACCAATCAATTGGAGTGGCAACACCATCCTTGTCAGCTAATTGTAAAGCATCGATAACTCTCAAAACTTCAGAAGAGTTTCTACCAGTTGACGCAGGATAGGTCATGATTAATCTTACCTTCTTAGCTGGGTCAATAATGAACACAGATCTGACAGTTGGAACCATACCCTTACCAATGTTTTCGAAATCCGATGCAGAACACATGTCATACAAAAATGCAACCTTTCTGTCAGCATCGGCAATGATAGGATAAGTAAACTTAGCACCACCGGAAGTAACATCTTCAATATCCTTTATCCATGCTTTGTGGCTTTCAACACCTTCAGTAGATAAACCAATCAACTTAACACCTCTTTCGCTGAATTCCGGGGCAAGTCTTGCGAAAGCTCCCAATTCTGTAGTACAGACTGGGGTGAAGTCCGCTGGATGGGAAAATAAAACGATCCATTGATTACCAATGTATTCATGGAAATCAATTTTACCTTCAGTAGTTTCGGCAGTGAAGTTTGGTGCCACAGAGCCAATTCTTATTCTTGGTTGCTCTGCAGCATTGAACGTAGAATATAACTGAGTACGACCTAACTGAACACCAGATCTGGCGTATTGGCCAATTGCACTTCTTGCAGTTGGAATCGAGTTTTTGAAAGCAATTGAACGTAATAATTGTCTACTGAACATCTTTCCGGTATATTTTGTTAATCAATTGATAAAATATTGAAAATAGATCCAGTGCTTATATATGTATTTCACTATTCATTATTAGACGGAAGCAATTATCCCACCTCACGTGATTACTGAAGTACTAGGTTAATAGAATCATAAACATTAAATACTATATACATACAACAAAACTAATAATAAGTAGAAACATAAGCGCAGAAAGTAGAAAAAATATAGTATATATTGGAGCCATCAAGGTTTTAATTTTGTACATCATAAGCATTAATTGTAGATTAGTTTTCAGGAATCATATTTGCGTCGAACCAACCTAAGAAATCATCGTCCTGGTAATTATCATTATTTATCCAACCATCAGATTGTTTCTGGAAAAAATTATCCATTTGGTCCGCTACTCCATTAACTACTGAGTGGTTTCCACCAATATATTGGAAATTTGCTGGGTTTGGAGTACCCATGGCGTGGACTTCAGCCAATGAATCACCAGGAGAAAATAACATGGCCTGGCCCAGTGGCATTTGCTCAATTTGTGGTTGATATTGAGGTTTCGAAGCTGAAGAAGCCATGTTTGAGTTATTTACCGGATAATTTGAAGAAGCCATGTTTGAGTTATTTACCGGATAATTTGAAATTGGCGCGTATGAAGAATTCATTGTGGTATCTTGGTTTGCATTTCTTGAATCAATATCTCTCATACTACCCGTTGCTTCAAGCATAGCGAGTGGAATACCATTGATTTCCAATGGTTTATCCAAACCATTGGCATTTGCATTCAGCTTAGCTTGGGTCAATGCGTGGTCAGTCGGCACCAATGTCGTGACAGTTGTACCATTAGGAGTGGTAGTTGTAATTGTTTTGAAGTCATCCTTAGTGATTTGATTATAGAATGGCAAAGGTAAAGGTTTTCTTTGATTCGAGAATGACGATACATCATTCTCCTCTTTAGGTTCATTCTTAACCCGTTTGTCTTCGGGTGGATGTGACTTATCTGTAAGGGTTCTTCTTCTAGCTTCATGTATACACCATACTAAATCATAAAACAATGAAGCAGTCAAATGTGATCTCATTCTCGTAATTATACTACCACCAATTTCTTTATTATCGGATAAGAAAACTTCTGGATATGTATACAAAACAATATTCAAATTTTCCAATACTTTTGCGGTTCTCGAAATATCGTTCTGTAATTCCTTCCACGATGATAACGTATTCCTGAATAATCTATGGACGGTAACAATCAGCTGTCTGGAACTATCCACGTACTTGTCGATTAGATAACGAGACAAATGCAATTTGAACAACATCAAAACCGAATATGTGATGGCTTGTCTGACATAAATAGGAAATTCAATTAGTAATATAGTATTACTACTGATCATTTGTGATGTGACGGTGATAATTCTTGTTGCCGAATGATAGGCTGCACTAACATATTTAACCTGGTCTTCAATTGGTGTACCTGGTAAAAATGCAAAACAACAGATCATTAGTTTGATATACAAATAATAAATTTCAATAGAAGAACCGTTTTCAATAGGCAACTTGAATTTTAATCTTTCCAATTCTCTATCCAACGTGTTCAAGGAACCTGCACGATTCAGAGGCTCCAAAAGACCATCTGGTCTAGTCACAGAAATTCCCATAACATTAACCAATTTGCATTGGAAAATAGATAATGAGATTAAACAACGGAAATTTTTAGGTAAGCTTTGGTCAACTCTTGCATTTTCCAATAAATAATCTGTAGTATTGATCAGCGGCGGTAATCCTAATACAGAAGACCAGAATTGCTCACAGAAAAATACGGCTAACCAAGTTCTCGTTCTCCAAAGTTCAGCATCAGGCCCTAAACTGGCTTGTGTTCTGCTGAATTCTTGAATGAATTCACCACCTCTATGTAAACCTAATTGTAATGATAAATTCTTAGCTAACCCGATAAATCTGTATGAACAGTCATCCAAAACCTTTTCGTTTGGCAATGGCCATATGGAGAGTACAACAAGTGCCTGTATAACATGTGTTGATCTTGGTGTATGTGTCCAGCAAGTTTCAATTGCTAAGTGCTTAATTAATGACGCTAATGACATGTATAACGTTGGTTCCGGTTCAGATAATGCTGCCGTTAAAATGACGGACCAGAATAAAAGCTTTGACTTATGATATAATTCTGTAGCTGAATTCGAAGTTATTATTGGTAAAAATGGCAAATGTTTAGTGATAAACCTATCATGGAGTTCGTTCGCTTTGTCCAAAGGAACAGAGACATCGCCAAGAACAAATTCCGGAATAGTTTCGAATTCTTCTTCGTCTTCTTTCGTAAATTTACCTGAGCTATCATACTTTTTTTCCATAGTGGGCGAATTATCAGTTGATGTTTCGTGTAAAATGTGACCCAAAGGGGCTGAGGTAGGAATTGCATCGTTAAGTACTTGATTACCTTGTAAAGTATTGATTGGTGATAAATTAGCATTAGTATTTACATGAGGAAAGCCCGAAGCAAATGAATGAGGTGAATTATCTGACTGAAATTGCGATGGAGTGTTCCCATTCGAGAAATCCGAAACAGCACCAGCAGATCTTTGGATAGGGGTTGTATTATATAGCTGGTTTTGAGTCATACCACTAAATGCTGGTTGCAGCTGTTGTTGTATGAAGTTCATGTTATGCTGGTTTAATGCTTGAGTTAAAAGGGACTCGTTTTTCGTCAACATTTCAATTTTAGCTTTTAGCTCATCAACGTCACTCTTTAATGACTGGATCTGCGACCCCTTCTTGGGCCTAAACTGTGGATCTATCTCACATTTTAATCCCATCTTATCACATCTATGGCACGGATTCGGATAATTATCCGATGCGTTACACTTAATCTTGTGTTGACGACAAAACGTACAAGATGTAACAGGCCTATGTCCCGTTTGCTTCGATCCTTTATCTCCTGACTGTCCCGTGCTTGAAGCTTCACTCAAACTCTGTGATTTCTGTTTTTTAACCACGGTAGCATTGTTGGCAGGTAACGACCTTCTCTTGTTTCCTCCACCATTTGTGGAACCAGTAGGCGACCCAACGGATGGCTTTGGAAGTATTGACTTTATTCTGGACTTTTCCATCTGAAAGATAACTTATTAACTAACTTTCCTAACGGAAACTTTCAAATCTTGCTTCCAATATTGTTATCAAAAAGATCAAACTTAAGAAGGATTCGAGATTTTCAGTTACAAATCAGTAGTATATTTTTGTATTTCAAACGATGACTCAAACTATCTGAAAGGATAAGTTGAATATGTAACACGGGTAATATATTATTCAAAGACTAATATAATCAAATATATTCTATATCGAATAAATTTTCCGTACAATAGTTGCCAGTATTTGTCTCTAGTATGATTTTTTTATGGGAATTGGTGTTACACGCCCGCTAACGGGGGTTACCCGACTGATTGATGGAAAAGATAAAAATTTTTCGCAGATTTGCTCAATTCCGCGGCATAGTTTTATACGCAGATCGTTTAGATAATTTTGATTTCCCTATTGAGTAATTACACTAGAGTTGGGCTTTTCGGTTGAGTTCTTATACAGGTTAACGAAGCATACAATAGGCAAGGCTTAAGGATTAAGGGCAATTGAAATTCATAGTAATGTGAATGAGCCAGAATAATGTATTGACGACAACAATAATGATGTAACTGAAAAATGAACAAATATGTATTAGAGCAGAGTACAAACTATATAGGGCTAATTATCATCATCTTCTGTTTTAGGATCGCCTATACCATCCTCATAGATAGCGAATACACATTCACTTTCGGGTAAACAAGGACTGTCGTAGATCTTACAAATTCTCTGTTCTGCTCTGCCCTTTTTAAATGACAATCTTGTGGTGGAACTGTGGGCAATAATGTTACCACCGATAGGTTTTTTAGGGTCAGGGTTGAACATGGCGCTAGCACCGTCAACTTGTGCCACAACTTGGTTTGTTATTACGACAGCAATACCAAATTCATCTGCCAATCTCTGCAAGGTTCTCATGTACTTGGCTACATGCGTCTGTCTCGCCGACAATTCGGCACGCCCTGAATAATCCGTTCTGTAGAGGGACATGATTGAATCTACGATCAAGCATGAGAACCGAGATTCAGACATCATTTGTGCTGCATGGTTCAATAATTGGAATTGGTGCTCGGCATTGTATGCCCTCGCATATGCAACGTTATCTAAGCAATCTTCCGGATTCAACCCATATCTCTGAGCAATCGACACCAAACGAACAGGTCTGAACGTTCCTTCTGTGTCAATATACAAACATTTCCCTTCACCACCCCCCATATCAATCGGTAATTGGCAAGTAACGGCCAAAGTATGACACAATTGTGACTTTCCGGTTCTAAACTCCCCAAACACCTCAGTAATAGATCCAGTCTCTATTCCGCCTCCCAATAACGTGTCCAATTGCTTGGACCCAGTGGTTATACATATAAGTTCGGATCTTCTGCTGTGAAACTCTGATGCAGTGGTGAAACCTAAGGGCACCACTTTGGCTGCCTCAAGAGAGATCTTGTCGGCCTTGGCCTCTGATATCCCCTTCACCAACAATAACGCCTTTTTAGGGGTGTAAGCGATACTCTCGATCGTATGGTATCCTTCAGCCTTCAACTTTCTGATATCGCCCGATGTGATCCCATTGCCTTCGAGCTGTTCGATCAATAATGGTCCACTGAGGCCCTCTTCTTCGTCACCCATAGAAGCCTCATGTTCGTTCGTTTGCGCTCCTTCTGTCTCTGTCATCATGTATATATTTCTCACGTATATATGATATTATATCTAGATTAACCTAAGATAGTATGATTAGTATGGCGCGTTAAGTCAAAATAAACAAAAAAAAAAAGGCGCGAGGCAAGGGTCGTGTCGAAATAAAATCGTCACTGATGACAAATGGGTTAAACTATCGTCTAGCTGGTCTCAGGTATTCGCAGCACCATAAGGTATATATACTTGAATTATAT